ATATATATATATATAGATATGTGTGTATGTATTGGGATGTAAATCAATAGTCTTGTAAACGAGCACACATAATAACTGCGAAGATTTCTAGTGCCAAGTACACACACCTATCAATAGTTAATGCAAATCTAATTTGACTTTAGCTGGATGATAGGTTTGAGCTTTTGCACCTGTTGGTAACTACAACTACGATAAGATCAGGTGTTGCATTTTACATGTGTGTGTTTCAATCAAATTTCATAAATAGTTATAGAAAACAAACAAAACGATTCGTATCTTTGTATCTGTGGATGGTGTGCGTGAGAGTCTATACCTAATTGGAGTCGGGAATCGGGAAAGAGTAATCGAATGTGGTCATGATGCTGATACTGATACTGATACTGATATTGATACTGATGCTGATAACGATTTAACACAGATACTGCAACTATTACTGATAACAAATAAATTGTTTGTCTTAATTAAATCATCGAGAAAGATTTGCAGCGCCGGTTCGCGCAGCTTCGTTACTCTTATATGCGTGGCTGCGGCATACTAAGTAGTTAGGTGCAAGCAAATAAACGACTTTAATTAATTAGAGATGATTAACTATGTAAGTTGTATAAAGTGTGTTCAGCACGGCCATTCATGATGCCATACTTGTTCGAGTAGTATTTGGTTTTATTGTGTATGTATTTATGTATGTTTGTAATTACAAGTGAATTCAATATAATATGTAAGTAGGTAGTGGATAAAATTGCGAAAAACATATCTACTTCATTTGTTTAATGTTATGTAGTATTTAAGTAGAATTATAAAACGTGTACAAAAATTGGAATAAATTAATTAATGTTCATAGACCAAATCAATACAGAACTAAAGCAGCAACGTGGTGTGTGTTCTAACAAACAAACCAACAAACAATTTAATGTTATGCATTTTTTTATATTTTTAAATTATTTTTGTTATTTACTTTTAAGTAAGTCCAAAAACCAAAGTTAGAAAAAAAGCTATTTGGTTCGAAGCATTTCAACGGGGGGAAAACTAAAACTATAAACAAAACCAATTTATCATAAATTGACTCTGCTCTGAAGTTGCATAAAAACTCGCTCGTTAAACCTTTTGGCAAACTTCAAAAGGGTTTAAGTAAAGCCCAAAATTAGATATACTTAAAGTCTGACACTTAACGTCTTCATATATATCATTGCTCTGTATAAAAAAATAAAAGAAGAGAAGAGCAAGTTTCAAAATTTAAAACAAATCATGATTTATGTTTACAAAATATTTGAAAACTCAGAATCCATGCTTCTGCGTCAGCTAAATTTCATCAATTTCAGCTCTCTGTTTTCTTTGTTTTTATTTTTAGCACTCACACGCAACTAGTTCAAACCCTTCTGTAAATTGTCTTCCATAAATTCGAATTAAGCATATCAAATATGTAGATTGTATATGTGTATGTGTGTGTGTGTGTGTGTGTGTGTGGCTGTATCTGGGTATAAAATTGTTTGCTCTGTTGGCTTGTTCTTGCAATCAATTCCGAAATGATGCTAACAAATGTGATGCATGCTTTGAGTTATGGCAGCGCAACGAATACAATACGAAATCAATAAATGTTAATTCCAAAGCCAAACTACATACACTAATGTATACAGAGTATTTAGAATTCGAATCGTAGCAGTAGTGTTTAGCCGTTTATGTGTATAATGTGTGAAAAGAAATGCCCAGGTAAAACGATCAAGAGTTTCTGTTTAGCTACATCGATTTTCAGCGTCTGGAAAAAAGTGTTGCATACCCGCCAGGCGCTACGATGTTTAGGTGTTTCCATGTGTAAAAGCATTTGGGATCAGTCAATGCATGATGCTAAGGCACTGACCAGGCAAGTTTTTGAAATCATCTAACAATAAGCGTGGTGAATCACTCGGAAAACAAACGAAGCCAACTTATTAAGAGAACAATTGCTTAGCATGTATATGTTTTGGAGATATTACAAGACTTACAGAAGGATTTGACAACAACGAAAGAACTCGACATTTGAGCTTAAGTCTTATTTGATTTACGTATTTAGCAAGAGAGCCAGCTAAACTCTACTCTTTCTTTCTTTCATTCTTTCACATGCCACCAAGAAACCAATGCCTTTTGAAAATTTGATTTGCTTAATAAGTTGAAAATGAAGTATTTCAATTGAAGCTGCTTGCAACTGTTTTGAGTGGTTTTAGATCTGATTTTGGTATTGCTGTTGCAGCCAACTGGTCTGTGGGTCAGTCAGATGCTGAGCAGAAGAGTTTGATAGCAAATGTGTGGGCATTTTTATGCAAGTTCAAGTGACGTCAAATAACAATCAAATCAAAATAAGAACCAAATAATAAAGAACGCATATAAAACGGCAATGAAATCATAAGATATCGTATAAAAGGTTGTTCATTTTCTGAAGTTTAGTAAGAATGCAATATAAGAAAAACTTAGGTTAATTCGATTGTAGCGATTGTAGCTTTATAGTTTCTGGTAATTTATATTTTTTGGTGTTCTTGTTGTTATTTTGTTTTATTTTTTTATTTATTTTATTGCATTTTTGTTGTATATTTTTTCTTTTTGGTTTTTTTTTGTGGTACAGCCAGCAACGTGTTCGTGTACCTTTTTCTAGGATCCTTGCTATAAGTTCCACCATATTTGCTTCTCTGGGCAGCCAGTTCAGTGATTTCTGGTATCCAACTAGCGAACACGGCCTAAATTCAACAACACACATACACTTTTAGAATATAGAGAGAAGTGCCAAAATAGTTCAGTTTCAGTTACAATTGCAGTTTTAGTATTTGACTAACTAGTTGTTGCTGGTCTTTTGGATGGTGTTGTGTTAAAAAGAATATGCACAAAGTCCACTTAATGCGACGACACTCACAAAACTCGAAAAGGGGACGACGACGTAAAAGTAAGCAGACAACGCTGGACAACAGAGGAAGCTTAACTCCCACAACCACGCGGCTCACTTGGACGTGGATGATTCACACACTCAAGCCAATCACTCACACATACGTACGTATACACATACATTTATATACACATACACGCACACACAATAAACATTCGCTCAATTTTACATCTAATTATACAGTTTTTTCATATATATACAGTTTTGGATCTCTGAAAGATGTATTCACTTTTACCGCATCTAAATATATAATTTACTGTAGTTACGTTTTTATTTGTTTTACTTTAAGGTCTAAAATTTACAGATTTACAGCTGTACACGAAAAGTGCTCTATGGCTGCCTAGAAGTGTGCGGAGTTAGTCTCGACCCAGCTAGGCACGTACGAGTGACTTTTTGGGGGAATGTAATGGCTTTTTGAGGTTCAAAATATAGCGATAGCTTCCAATTCTAGTGGGTGGACTAAGTGTTATGCAATGAGAGTAGTCGAATAATAAATAAACCTAAAAAATTGTACGTTTGATATGCTTAAATGCCTTGTGGAGTGATTTTACAATTAACACAAGCCTCGGCATACCGAAGAGAAAGACAACTTCCAAATGATGCGTCCAATGAACGGGGAAACTTGAATATTTTTGAGCTCTGGAAATTGTCCTTCAAAAGAAATTAAATTTAAAAAAAAAATGAGAATTAAATACATTTTTTAAAAAGTATCAAGAATTCGATGTACTAAGATAGTTATGTTACGGTGACACTGACAAAAAACTTTTTACTTGAGGATCAATATTAAAATGTAATTAATTATTGCAAAATGTAGCTCAAACTCTCTTCAAATAGCAAATAACATATTTACGTGTACTTTAAAATACAGTTGTTTTTTTTTTTTTGGCAATGCGTGACCGATGTTATATATTTTGTTTTTAATTGTGTTAACAAGAAGGCGTCGTAAATGTTGCTCAAATGCTGTAAAACGTTGAACAAATGAGTAGAAAACAAACCTTGAACTATTCTCAAATTGCTTTGTACTTCTGGTGTTATATTGCAAAATAAAACGGAAAGCATGGCAAATCAAACAAAACTCAAATGTGAACGAAAAACCAAGAAATGGACAGAGTATTCGGGCCAAATGTAATGGAAAACACACGCCTACAAAGTGTTTATAGAACGAATTGATAACTAATTAAAAGCAATGTGTGAGAGTTTATCAATAAATTAAAGCAAAATACAAATACAAAAACCCTACGAAAATTGTAAAAAACTAACTGATCTGTAGAAAAAATAACTTTGGCAATAAAAAAGTAATTTAAATTATAATATGGAAAGTTCTTTATACTTGAATGATTTATCAATATCATTAAATGTCATGTTTTCTGTTTTTTTTTTGTTTTTTTTTTTTTTGTGGTAAATATATATTTATTGAAAAGTTATTAAGGTAATCATGACTCTTATTAGTCAGAGTTGACTGTCAGCTACATTTGATGATGGGTAACAATATATATATATATTAGTAGAACTTGGCATTACAGTCAACTTCGTATGCGAGTTACCAAAATACAAATCCATTTGGTAAATTATAAAAATATATAACAAAGGGTAACAGACTAAGTACGTAATTTGATAATTGAATATTAACGTAACTAATTCATTGCTAATTATGAGTTGTGGTTTTTTTGTAGTTGTTGTTGCTGTTGTTGTGTTCCTATTTGTAGCAGAAACGATTGAAACCCATTTTGACTCAAATGTTTTTCAAACTTGAATCGATTCAAAGTTAAGAAATCGGTTTGCTGGAAAAGGCAAAACTAAACTTGATTCTAAAATTTTCCAGCACATTAATATTATATATATATTTTTATATATATATAGGACTTAGAGTTTTGATCTTTGATCATGAAAGCCTCATTGAGCTATTCTTCAAAACAAATGTAAATTATTCTGTGCATCTTAAGATCTTCTTGATATTATTTGATTGTTTTTTGTGTTTAATTGTTTTTTATAGTTTTATCGATTTTGGTTTTATGATTATTTCTTTTTTTTTTTTTTTTTGATTAAATGTGATGTTGTTATGTCGTTTATTGCATATTGAAATGTTATAGACTACCTCTTTCCGTGTTCTCTTTTCAGTTCACCGCCATATTTATTGCCACTACCAACGAGTTCAATTATTTCCGGTATACTGCTGGCAAACATTGCCTAAAATATATATATATTCCACACATACGAATACAACAAAAAATTAACAAAGTTTGTTGAGCAAAATCAATGATTCTTAAGATGTAAAAGGTGTGTTCGAGCAACGGGTTCACAAATAACTTCCTCTGCTTCACGGGTACGAATCGAGGCCAGGCAGTCACACCAAAGGAGGCTCTTACTTACTACACTAAATTAACTTGCTTATCTGAGTAGTAACCTTAAAGCAGTTGGGTTAAATTATTTTCAATTCAAAGTTGCGGCAGCCAGCATTAAGTCATGCAATAATAAAAAGCAAATACCTTATATATGGGAAACATTTTGATTATTATTTATATATATTGTATATATGCATGAGCCCTCTCCCTGTCTACCTAATATTCTTTTGTTTTTGTTTTCCATTTTTCTTTTTTGGTTTTTTTTTTTGTCAGGTGTCGGTGTCAGTGTCGGTGTCGGTGTCTTTGTTGTTGCTGTTACCAAATTAAAGGCAAATTGAAAATTCAAATATTGAGTATATGTATACAAAAAATAGATAAACTGCATGCATCTGTTTCGAGTTTGTATTTAAAACGAAAATCAAAGAAAAAAGAAGAAGGCAACTGTTTTCAAAATTAATCAACTACCAGCTGCTGTACGAGTAAGTATGTAGTATATGTCGCTGAGAGTGCGGGTAGAGATAAGAGATAAGAGCAAATCGAGAGTGGATAATGAGACCGCACGTTGGATCGCGTTAAGCTTACTTACAAGTGATGTAAAACTAACGAAACTTTGATGAATGCTTAAGATAGTGTAAATAAACTTAGTCTCAAAGTAAAATCTTTCATAATTAATTCAGTGCACCATTATTAAGTCGTTCTATGTTGTATTTACAAAGAAAAAAACGTAGCATATCTTTTAAATACTCTTTTTAAGGATTATTAATTGAATAAAGTGTAAAATATTGTTATATAAATCCTTAAGCTAAATCTCGGATTGTATTTTTGTATTTATTTAGTTGGGGGCAACGCTTTAAACGACTTGAGGTTGAGTAAAGTACTTGGGCTAATAGTACTGGTACTGGTACTGGTACTGGAGGCTATGGTTTACTTGGATACTTGTTCGCTAGCTAAGCTAGTTTTGAGCACAACTGTACTAAGTACGTTAGGCAACAATCAAAACTTGAACCATTCACACATTGCCACGCTGACAACACCGCTGTTGCATGGCCTAAAACTGAATGGGCCTCGATGTAAATTGGGTAAAACCGAGGAAAAGAGAGAGTGAGAGAGACATAGAGAGAGAGACAGAGAGAAACATTGTCTATGTTTGCTAAAAGAAAGTTTGGATTCATTTGACATAATGTTGCTAATGTGTAATTGTTGAGTGTTTCAGCATTTTGTTGTTCAACTTACCAAGCCGACGAGCAGAAAGAACACGAGAAATGTTCTTCCCAAGACAGTCTCACAGTAAACGTCACCATATCCTACCGTTGACATGGTCACAATTAGGAAATAGACACAGGTCCAATAAGATAAACGATGAGCATTATTAAAATCCAGCGGATCGCCAGAGTTCTCCAGCTAAATTTTAAGTAAATGCAATTGCAATTATCAATTGCAAACAAATACGCATCAGCGATTATTCATATTGAACATTCCAAGCCCTACGAGCACTACGGGCACTGCAAAGAAACGCCACGCATGCCCTCCCAGCTATCAGCGTCAGCTTGCCACACTCGTGCTCTGTAACAGCGTGCGACGCGGCGTATACGTAATCTTTTAACTGGCTCAAACACGCGCTGCAAATCTGTCACAGAGCCGGCTGGAAGACGGTCGTCATGCATAGCTGAATAAGTGTGAGTGTGTGGGTGTATGTGTGCGTTTTTCTTTTGCTGTGTTGATATGTGTTCGCGTGTGTGTGTGTGTGTGTCTACATACCAGATGTATAATGCCCGCTGCTGTTAACCACACGGATATAAAAATTGATACTAGTTGAGCCAAACGTATTGAGCTCGATGTTTTTAGTACGTTTAAATATTGTAAAATATCTGGAACAGTCATGAGACGTAGCGCTCGAAGAAATCGAAGACCTGTTTACAATACATATATGGATAGAAATTATAATAGCCGCACATACACGCTACATACATACATATGCATATGTATGTACGTTGAGTAAAGCACATTGCATGCATACAAATCGATCCTGGAACGCTTTCAAAGGAGTTTTGCTCTATGTAAATTAAGTCTTACTTTAACGTATTCGTGTGTGTGTGTGTGTGTGTGTGTGTGCTTGGGTGTTACGGTGTTTGTGTGCGAGTATTGAGGACAATATTAAAAGGAAATCTTTGACATTGAATCCGATTTGTATGCATCAAATTGTTGTTGGGATTTAATAAATTTAGGTATGTTTTTGCGCTTACCGATCCATGTTCGATCTAAATATATTGATACGAAGGACGGGGGTATTGTAAAATAATCTACAAAACTGTACATTTCTAACATAAACCAAAGCTTATCGGACGCCGCTATGAACTGGAAAAAAATTGTTAATAAAAAGAACACAATCGAGTTTAAAAATTTTTGCAAAAGAAATTCCAAATAATTATTAACTAATGGCTTAGCCAATTGATTTGTGATAAGACGAAAACCAAACAAATAAATCAATAAATAAAGCAAGCGTGTCGTATAAAACTTACTCGTATAAAAAAGTAAACCATAAAAAATATATTGAATGCGAGATCGATCTGTTGAGTAATGTTATTACTCCATTTTTGGCATCTTTCAACTTCTTCGCTAGATGCATCAACAAAATATATAATGAGAGATGCAATGCTGAGTATAAATACGAGTACGACCTGAAAGAGAGAGTAGTAAAATTGATATGATTAGCAATTGATAGTCAAATTTAACTCAAATGAAACAACATAAATAAGCTGATCTAAATAAGTATGAACAATTCACATTTCATATAGATTACCTACTTATCTGACCCCAAGGTCGTTAAAGAAACAAAATATTCTGTGTAATTGGCTTCATTTAATATAAAGCCATGAAATAACCTCTCTAATATAGTTTTGTTCAGTAGAGAGGGTAGCTGATAGTCTGTCATTTCAATGTTGGGAATTCGCTATTTCCTTTTCCCTTGGAATCAGCATAGCTTTCAATCAATTGCTTGTCGCCTTCGTAGAGCAACAGGACAATAGTTGATGCACAAGCCCAAGCCTCAAGCAGTTATTAACTTAAAATATTTTTAAAACATTTCTATGAAAATTACAAGGAATCTACCTACAGCATTAGTCATGTTTCAATCATTTAAATTCATAGTATAGTTTGAATAGTAAGTGTTCAAGCATGAACTTGGCTACTTCCTGACACCTTTAAACAGACTGCGAGACAGACATCCGCAACGTTAAAGCCATCGAGTATAGAAACATAAGAAAGCCGCTTATGGCCTATGCTTCAATTACACGCTGTGGAAGCTATCTCTATAGTTATATTTAGGAAGAGGTCTGCTTTTTGTCAGAATATTCCTATTAGATAAGAGATTTATACAAAAGTGCGATCGTAGCAATGATCAGTTCAGCTGTGGCTTTAACACATTCAGTAGGCCTTAATTGCGCCTACTAATTATACACAATAGCTCCACGGGTTTAATCAATATCATATTTATTAATAACTAAATAATATAAATCATGAAGGCAAAATCTACTTTATATTTATACATATGGCATATTTCTATCGATAATGCAATATGACGTTGCAGTAGTGTGAGACCGGGAGCCTATATAGAGCTGTTATGGTGTCATTAGCCAAGTGACTTGCGGCTTGGCAGCACGCTTTGCATTTCAGGCTTGTATGCTCTGCTTCGCACTCCATTAGAGAGAGGTAAAGATATTTGTGCATAGTTCAGGGGATTGCTGAGGCAGAGTGAGATGGCTCACTTGCACAAAGTCGATTTGATTGTCAGTGGAAGAAGACAAGCGACTAAAATTGTCATTCGCGTGAAAGATAATGCATCGACACTTATATATTTATATATCAAATTACTAAATGCTGTTAAAGCAAAACTTAAATTATAATCAATTATAAGCTCGAAATTTTAAGAATTTCGATATTTTGTAAGCTCGGACTTAAAGCTCCTATATTTAATAATTTAATTGAATCAATTTAATTTAATTTAATTTAATTTAATTGAATCAAATTGGAGTCTTTAAGCTTTCACTCAAATACTATAACTTTTGTATAATTTTTTAGTTAGTAACAAAGCCCTTTAATTTAAAATAAACTATCTTTTATATAGATACAGAATTTCATTTCGCTTAAGCTTTTTGGCTTGTGAAAACCTGTTTTTATGCTTGTCCTGCGGGTTTTTATGTACTGCAGCCGTATCTGAAATCCTCTTCTAACCGAAAATACAGTCTTATTACTCTTACTCCTCTCTCGAAATCTATTTATTATTCCTTAAGTAAAATGGATACTGTGCATTTTCATTTTATTGAAGACAAACAGACAGCATGAATCATCTCAGCTCGAGGCGTGTCCGTCTGTGCGTCCATCCGTCAGTCTGTCTTCAAGACTATTCTATTTGAAACATCTCAAACGTCAATTACTTGGACGCATGGACGAAAACAACTTAGTTATGTAGCTTCTTCCAAAGTATAAATGAACCTGGGAATCCCAACTTTTTGTATGCTACAACAAAGGCATAACGATTTCTATTATATATTTATTTTATTTATGGTTTTTTTTGATATTAAAGATATAAACATTTTATAATTTTATGAATCATTTTCAAAGTGAAAGGAATTATATTGGTTTTAAAACATATCCGCCTTAGCCTAGCGCTTATAACTTCAGAACAAAATGTCTATAAAAGCTTATTGAAAAATGCAGACATCATTTCAGTTCACAATTGTTAATCCTGCTCAATTTCTTTATGTTATATTTATATTTATATGATAAGCATAGCTAAATATAATAATTTATGACTTGGAGCTGCACATGCACTGTTTCAGCAAGCCAACTAATATAGCGAAGATTCAAGAAGAGGGTTCTATGCATAGCACAGATTTATGGAATATTTTCAGAGATTCAGTGTTTACACTAAATTTTATTTACATTCGCTATAGACGTCCTTGATTAACTGCTTCTCATCTTGGCACAGCTGAATAACATGCCAAAAAGAATTCGATTGGATTATTATTTCAAAGTCCAGCCGGATCTCTGCTTCACTCAGGAAACCATTTGATTCATTGGTTTGCCACGACACCACTGCAGCAATTAGTCGAGGGCGTTCCGCTGATAAATCTGCGCCAATAATGAAAATTTTACCAGGTAATTACTGGGCTGAGCTACGTCGCCTTCCCCACGCGACAGCAGCAGCAGCGGCAGCGGCAGCACCACGAGCAGCTGTACGAGCTGAACGCCAGTTAAATGTCAGGGCTTTTTGCCAAAATGAAAAGGCCAGTTAAGGTGAACCAACTCTGGGCCGGCCAACATTGTGTCGTCTCTGGCACTTCGTGCTGTTCTGAATGTGCTTAATTGTTATTGCCGTTGTTTGGCTACCCGTTCAGCCATATAGACGTAATTGCTTTGATAATCGAACAAAATAAAGCACAAAAGGAAAGCTAAATTTGGCAAAAGACGCACGCAAGCTACTTATGCCCTATATTACAGCTGATTTTCGTTGTTTGTTATTGTTATGCAAATGCGATGCAGATATAGAAACATTCTGGCAGCGTTTAGTCCATACCAAGAACTTTCCACAACGACAACTTAAGCTTAAGATTACGTATACGCCACGGGTTACCGGTTGTCTCTTCATTAAGTTAATTTAATCGTCGCTGGCATCTAATGAAATAGAATCATAATCGCATCCAATGTTGACGTAAGTCCCTCCCAATATGTAAGTTTGGTAGCAGTCATCAGTAGTCACTACGCTGCTGACGTAATCAGGAGAAGGTAATCAATGCAAGCCAGGAAGCCTGAGAGACAGCGACGCCAACGTAACATGGCCACAAAGATGATAAAAAATTCTTGACGGTCTTGTTATTGCTGTGATTATTCTTGTTCTTGTGGTCATCAGTACGAAACTGGGTCAATCTCTTTCTTGAATGTGTCTGAAGGAGCGCAAACACGATGTAAGCCTTAGCTCTAAAAGAGCACACAAACAGCTAAGTCGTGAGACGCAAATGTCAAAGGTGCCGAGGAAAACACATGAGCTCTGTGTTCTTTAAAGGTTATTATCATTTTTGGCAGGAACGTTTAACTTATTGTGGCAACATCTCCAACATGATACATCGAGTTAGGTTTTGCAATGGAAACTGATTTGTAAGACACATTTTAATACTTTTATTAGTCAGTTAAGCAATAAAAGTTTGCAAATCCAAATGACGACAATCGTTTTCAATACATTTTAGTCTCTTTCATAGAATCCAAAGCGACTTCATGCCAAATGTTATCTATGAATATTGTCTTTAGCGAAGGTCATAGAAGGCAACATTCCATGAAGAAACTTTCTTGAATAAATTCCAACTATATCCATATAATAGCAGCAATAATAATATATTGCTGACGTGCAACACAAACAAGAATTTATTCAATGTTTTGTATTTCTGATGGCACTTCAAACAATTGCCCTAACACAATGCAGAGGAGTAGAACGTTTCTTTGGCCCTATAGTTTAGTCAACATGATTTAGGAGACCAATAAAACTGATATGCATTTACGAATATTATTTTCTTGAGTGCCAGCTGTTCACAGTGACCAATCGCACCAATCAATTTAGTTATGGGGCAAGCACAACAGGGAACACAGTATGAGTCCTGCAGTTTAATGGGCCAAAACGCAGCTGCAGAAGCGGCGGCGCCTGCCACTTCCACAAATTGCCGTAAGTGCGGTTTTTTAAAGAGTGCTGAGCGACTGCGTCTACGGTGGCGTGACCGACTGCAATCGGATGTGTCGGATACGCCCCCAAGTAAGCTGCCATAAGCTGCCTTTGCCGGCGCTTCCGCATTCCAGACGCTTTAAAGAGTTTTAAAGCCAATTAGCAGCGAGTGTGAAGTAAAAGTGACTGTTAAAGTGCATGTTAAATGAAATGTCGATTGTATAAGAGTCGAAAAGAAATCCATAGTCGCAGCACAGCTTATTCAAGCACTGACAATAGTGGCTGAAACAATAACAACGAATCGAAAGGATACAGCGCCAAATGCCAAAAGCCTTCTGGAAGGAAGGCATCTAAAATGCGGCCAACAGCTGCAACAGCGCCAACAATGCCACAAAAACAAACGCCGCATTCTGCCAACCAGTCGGGCAGGCCATAAACATTCGAGCCAACCCACACTCCAGACACTGCCTGCCTCTGTCTTTCTCTTGGCCCTGGCAACAGTGAAATGTGCGAGTTTTTTTTATCGATTTTCTTAGGCCTTTTCCTGGCACTCGCCCACATTATTTGCCATCGTTGTTGTTGTTGTTGTCCTGCTATTTTCCTGCGCTGCTTTGGCGCTCTGACATATCTTCGGTTATTTTGTATCCCTATATTAGCTGAAAGTTGTTGTAGTCGTTGGCATTTGACTGACTCTTTGCATACTACAACAATATCGATAAACCAGCTTGTAGTGGGCGTGGGCGTCGGCGTAAGCTAGAGCTGGAGCTGGGGCTGAGGCAAGCGTGCGAACATTGGAAGTATTTGTAGCTCTAGCTCTGCCAGTTGTATTATACTAATGGCAAACAGCCATGCAGCGCCATTTATCGAGCATAGACTGTTGTTAGTTTCCTCTTCGTATACCCTGTATGCACACGAAGAAGGGGATATACTGTCTGCGCGTGGCAGATAGAAGTAGCCTTCTTGACTGACTTATGAAGTATAAATAGAGCATAGAAGTAATTTATTCATTATATTAATCATATTTCATATATGGATATAGATACACCGACTCCATACGTATATATCGAGCACAAGCCTCGAGCATGTATGGAACAATATCTAATTGATTTTGTAGGTTTTTGTATGCTTTCTCATGCTTTCTGTAAAATAAACAAGTAGACTGTGGGGAGTGCACGACTAGCAGATACCCTGAACAGTGGAGAATCGACAATTTGAAGCATACTTCATGGGTTTTATCTATGCAACGCCACTGCACTGCCTTCTGAGTTGACATATTCCTTCCGAACTGCCGAACAAACAGACAGAGAAACGATCGAGGCTAAATCGATTTGGCTTTTGCAAATGGGCAAGAAAATATGAGGAAGCACTTTAAAGTTTACACTTTAGCAAATCTATTTTAGCGTATAACAAATCTTAAATTTATAACGAAATCAGCCCACATCATGAAGGTTCTTAAGTTTATCTACTGAGTTTTCAAACTGGTTAACAGGGTATCTTATGGTCGCCAACTATTCAAGTTGTTGCTGCAACGGCCATACTGAGCTCGCACTGATAAGAAACACAGGAATAACTGGAATTCAATTGCTTTATTCGGTCTCTTTCAATCGGCCATGTCTGATAAAGTCAAGAACTGCTGAAGCCAAAATGTTAACAAATCACGAAATTGTAATTTCAGATAACCGTAAATATCATGTTGATAGATTCCCCAAAAGATCTTTTATTACAAACTAATTTGTATTTTCGTGAAAGTATGCTATAAAATATTGATTTAAAATGCATTCGTATTGAGGCCAGTTTGTTTCCTCTGCTGGAGTGATTGCCTAGCCAAGTGTCCTAATAAGTTATACACAAATCAACTTGATTTTATTGATCTCTGAAGGCCCACAAACAAAGTCTAAATCATTTGTGGAAATCATGTTCGTGATGATAACTGAAAAGAAATGGCTATTGAAATGCCATCGATATATTTTCCCATCTAAATACATATTTTCATTTCATATTCATTTCAATATAGCTTAACTTTCGGAATCAACAGATGCCGGCTACTAATCAGCATTTCAAAACTGACAGTTTCTAAATTCAAAAGCAAATTCTTTCTTTGTGTTAGCTACTAATTAAAGATTACACTGCTTTGATAAAAGAGAGATTATGAAACGAATTTTAATTTTAAATATAAATCGAATGGATAATTTGATAAAAGAGAGATTATGAAACGAATTTTAATTTTAAATATAAATCTAATGGATAATTTTGATGTCAACACACAGATGATAACTAAAAAGAAGAATTCTCTCAATAGATCTGAAATATCAGTCTTGATTATTACAAATTTAACAAGCCCCTAGGCAAAAAAAAAAAGTAACTTCAATTTATAGTCTGATCTTTAGTTTAACATTATAGATAGTTTAAACTCTAAGCTATCGAGCTCTTGCATGGGAAGAGGTATATTAAATGTCTTTACATTTAATAAGTCAGATTCTATAGTTATTTGGTAACACCAATTTTGATTAAAAAAATAAGTTTTTAACAATTTCATGAAAATAAAAAAACTTATCGTTTTATGCATACAAACTTGATCTAAATGAAAAAGTTCAAGTCTCTAGCTCACGAGCAAGCAGACAGACGGCCCGAATCTTGTTACTGATTGAAAATATATATACTTTGTAGGTTTGACAGCGACTTCTTCTACCTGTTACATACATGCTATGAAAAACAGAATACTCACTTCAGGGTATTAGCTTCTGTACACACAAATGCCTAATCTTTCCGTTAAACTGCGAAAATGAATAATTAGAAAATTGAAGATAGGAAGTCTAGTGCCAGGTAATATCTTAAGCGACAGCGTCGGCAACTTCTAAATGCCGCTGCTAAGATTGAGCTTAGTGAGAGACTCCCATTTAATGGATGGCTGCATAATGCGACATATGCATAACATTAAAATATATTTGTTTACTCATTTCGCAAGGCGCATGGGACCTGGCGGCCGCCCGTTAGCTATCTTTGGTTATCAGTACATATGTTGCTTATAACTAAGTAGTTACTAACGGTCGGAGCCCCGGACTTAGTCAAAGCCCCCAGAGCAGCCGGCACACAAACACAAAAAGTAAATCAATTTGCTGACGAGTATTTGTGGTACATGGAAATGGTTGATTTACTTTGTTGCTTCCGCTGTTGACATGCAACCAGCCGCAGGGGCAGCAACGTAATGTGCCACAATAAAAGTATAAATATTATATTTTACACGCAACGTGTTTGCCCTTTGCACATCATAGAAAAGGGCGCAAATTAAATGAAGAACTCAAATGCACTTGGCTTTATATATATTTATACTCGTTGACAGCGGCACTAGAGTATATTGGCTTTGGACACTGAGCACCTTGTTGTACGAATCTTTGGAATTTATACTCAAGCGAGCCACAGCTTAACTAAGTTTTCAAATATTTTGTATTATATTTGATTCGAATTGTAAATTATATTGAAGCTAGAGAAGTAGACGCATGCTTGGCATAAATTCTTATGGATCTAGTAACATTAAATTTGAAATATATTTTTGTATAGGCCGAACTCATTTAAGTGGGAAGAGCTGTATTTGTAGTTTGACTAATGGATTACTGTTGACCCCTAAAAGATCGATTCATCCATAGCTTGACCTATTCCATATTCATAAAACTACGATCACTAGGCAGATCAGTGTTGAGCTTCTCTACTCTCTACATTCACAATAAATGCGAATATTTTCTTAAAAGTAATTGTTCCGGCTTAGTTAAAATAGTAGGGGAGACTTACCAAAATTCGACCAGTTGTTGTTTGACCCGAGATAAGCTCTCCAGCCCAGTCTTTTGCTTCTGTCATAAATGTTCCCTCGAACTCTTGTTTGTTGCGTGACGCCTTCTGCTCCTTTTGTTTGGGATCGTTGGGTCCCAGGTCCGGCTCCTTGCGGCAGCAGATGAATGCAAACGCTCGCCATAATAATACAATGAGCAGGCCAGCAAGGAATGTGAATATGCTGGATAGCAGAAAACACCAATATTTGCGAACTTTGAGACAATCATCGGCATCGAATGGTGAATCTGTTGGATCATCGGCCAATGATTCGACAGTGCTCTGATCACACCCCGACATCCCCTGCAAAAGTGTACAATGAACATTTATGTGAGTATTGCGAAAAGCCAATCGACGAGTCAATAACTAATTAGCCGTTAGGTATTCAACTATTAGCGACAACACGAATAACTACACATTTGACAACATTCTGAGCACAAGGCGGCAGCCATTTATAAATATAGTACATATACCTCGCGCTATGTACATATGTATGCAGCTGTATGTATGTATATGTTTTCATTCTCATTTATTACACATACGTCACGTTTGACATTTAGAACATAGAGCACATTTTTGGCTCAAGTTTGCAGTGCGAAGCGCATAAATGTAAACAAAAATAAAGTACAGAGAGTGTCGGACACTATGTGCACAAGAATTATTAAATATATAAAAATAAGTAGCTGACACATCATGGGATAATTGCTTACATTTGTCAATACACTGATATTTGTGCCGATCAAACCGCTTGCCATTTCAAATAGCTTACATTGCTGCGGCTCACTGCTAGATATATGTATTTATACTTATAGATATATACACCAGATAGATAGATATGTACAATTGTGTATGATATTGTGATTATGTTTCTTGGCCGAGAGACTCGCTGGGCTTTCAAGTGCATATAGGCCCCTGGCAACTTTGGACATGGCCAAGTGGCCAATGACGCCACCAAAGAGCCAAAAGACGCGACACCGAAAAACGGAACGGATCGGCACACAAAAACTTGGCACGCCTTTAAAAATAGCAACAAACAAATCTTTTCTTTTATTTTTAAAGTGATCTCGCAATGTACACGACGCGATGCGACGCGACGCGACGCGACGCGACACACGCACAAAGGCGAACGCGGCTACAATCCACTCGAGTTGTCACAATCTAACCATGCGACATTTTCAACAAACGACCAAGATACACGTTGTTCTAATGAATGGCACACCAGCTAAACTTCACTTCACTGACTGTGTGAGTGTGTGTGTGTGTATTTCCTTTGCTCTTTTATTTTTGAATTTTGCACGCTTTTCAACAACGGGGCCAACGCACTCAATGAATCACTGCGTATACTACGTATATATGTGCACATGCAATATATAGCTAGATATATATATATATATGTATATATATCAATGTATATTATAGATACATCTGCATTTGACACACACGCACGCACACACACACGCACACACGCTACACAACACAGCACAGCACGCAAAGACCAAAGCAAAAAAAGGAGGCACCGAGCGAACAGCACAAACGCCGCGCACCAACTAAAAATGAACAGGCCATTACGAATGTTGCGATGAGGAGCCTTAGCTATTCAGCTGCTCAGCAACTCAGCTACTCGGCTACTCAGCTACCCAGCTACTCAGCTAGTCGACTGCTCAGCTAGCCAACGTGCTATCTCCTGACGTGGGCTTGCTCTCTGTCTGGTTGACCGCGAAAATTGACATCGCAGGCGACAAACTAGAAATTAATTAAAAGCCAAAGAAAAATATAGGAAAAGCTAAGGCTAATGCCACCTACAATTGCATACTCTTTCCCTAAGAACAATGTCGCTATGAAAGTCTTCAAAAGCTAAAGAACTTAGGATCACTGTCTTTGATAAACAAGAATTCTCTTTTTAAAATTTATACTCTTACATAATTTTGAAACCAAAAAAATATATTTTGCTAATATTTTGTTTTATTTTTCTTGCAAATAAATTTGCTCTTATTTATTATTATATTAATGGAAGTCGTTGCTTAAGGAAAACGCAATATTTATCCATTATTATATATATCTAGATTTTCGAGCAATTTAATCATCTCAAAGTGGTTTGCTTAACAGTCAAAGTTCGCAAGAAAATCTTTATGACCTGTTCAAGAGTATTTGTACGTTTGTATAATAGAGCCTCGGTATGTGTGGGTGAGTTGTCAGCAATGAATTGTTATTACAAGAACAAGAGCAGCAGGGCAAATATAAATATATAAAATATGAGTTCTCTTGTTTTTCTGCCCAGTGCCATTCTAAGCACACGCACACACACACACGAAACACTTACACTTTTGCATTCGCTCTCCCATTCGCTTTCTCTCTCTCTGACCTGTCGCCCCGTTGCGACTCCCAGCAGCAATCGAGGAACCGACAGGTTAACTCAGCCCAGTCACGCCATGTTGCCAGTAAGCTGTCGTTTCATAATTTACGCGTTTTGTTTGCTATTTCCTGCGGGGATAGACCAACAAAGAGCGCCGGCCCAAACCCCAGCATGCAAACAAGCTGGCCCAGTTAACTATGCCTCCGTCTTAACTATGCGTTTCCACTAGCCATAATTGCTCATCATCATCAGCCGGTCCGGGCCGAGCCGAGCCGAGCCGGGGCAACAGCGTTTATTTTTAATACCCTGTACCCAGTGAGAGTGGCTAATAAGCGCCATTAGTCCTGTGTGCCAAAGTAGGCAATAGAAGAAGGCTAAGCCCGGCAATAGCAAACATCAAAGGAAATATTTTCCATGAGTGAGCAGTAGAGGGAAACCCTATATTGGATATATTACAACTTTACTTGGTGTCTTCGAGTCGAGCAAGATCTTACTTGTAGTTATAGCTCTGCTTACATGCGTCACCTGCAGCGTATGAAACAGTTGCCTCATTGCATTTGACCAATTAAAAAACATTTTTCAATTCGCGTACTCAGATAAGTATATTTAAACCATCGCCAGCCTTGAAATTCAAATGGAATAATGATGAGCGCAACTGCAATGATGACGTATACCCATTAATTATTCTGTAGTGTCAATCTGACTGAGCGCAGCAAGTCATAAAGTAGCGCGTTCGGTTCATTTCAATTGACTGATAAGTCGAGTTGGAAAATTCTTTTTGAATCTAATTAGATGTTTTAATCAATGACTAAGCTTGTACAATTATGAGCTATTTAAAAGTAAATCATTCTAGAAATTCACTGCACTCAAAACTTGTTTTGCCGAACGAAACCACCTTGAACATTCGATCTGTCTATATAATATATAATAAATTGACATTATTTGATTTGAAAGTCAATCAACATGGATTACAATGCTGACATTTATAATCTATATAGAACAAGTCTCTTCTGATAATGACAAGCTGAAAAGTGTATTTCCCACAGAATTGTCTGTAAACTGTAAATCAATATTGTTTTTGGCAGACAATGAAACAATAAAACGTCTGTCAAGATGCTAATAGATTCGAGCGAATGTAATTTTAAGCACGTTCGACACACGATTTGTAAATATTTATGCACAATTCATTGCGTTAAGATAAAAGTAAACAACTCTAGTGTTATGATGAATTACACTGGCCAACAAACTTTAGATAAAATGCAGCAAACAAGAATGTTTTTGATGTGCTGTATTCGAATTTGAAACTAAAATATAATACTGAATACCTGAAAGGTTTTTGAACTTTCTTTCAGTTCTTTCGAAATGTCTTTTAAAACTATATCTTATTCGTTGTAAAGAGCAATACTTTCCGATATCGCAATCGTAATTTAGGAGCATAATGAACTGACTTGATGTTACAGTAGCCCAAGAGTCTTGGGTTAAGTATAGTCTCATTTCTGGTACCCAAAAGCCTGTTGGCCTGTGTTATTGTTACCAAAAATGTTGCTTAAAATGTTGGCCAAGTTTGGATTTTATGTCAAAGTGAGTTAACTGGACTTAAGATAGCAGCTGTATACCAACTAAAGCGACCCGCTGCAACTAACAATCTAGTCGGCGGCGTTTAGATAGCGGCGCGATATAAATTATGCCAGAAGACTGAGCCGATGGCGACAATCAAATGGATGAAGTCACTCGACGACCAAGTGGCAATAATTTACATTGCGAACTATTGATTTTGGGGCGTGGAGGTGGGTAGATAACTTGACGCATGTCCGTCAAATTGTGGAAAGCCAAGAACTGTAAAGAACAAAAAAGATAGAGACAGCAGAGCCGACACGACAGACAGACTGAGGCAAATGCCAAGCGACAACCGACAAGCAACGAGTTGACAAATACCCTTCGACTTTTTGAGCAATTTATGGGTCGCACTTGGCCCGCTGATTGTAGCCACTGATTGCTGACCGCTGCTGGCGGCGCGACATTACCAAGGCCGAAGGGCTTAGGGGACTGCCCGCTGAGCATTTCACGTTGAGCGTTGCTTTGTCTGTTTTAGTTTCAGTTTTTGTGCCACATTTGCAAAGGTCACGCAAGCTGATGCATACGTATGGAACTACGCACACACACACACATAAAAGCGAACACATCCATATATACACATACACAAGCTTAGTTAGTTCAGCTACTTGCGACCGATAAGTTCTTTTGAGTTGGTTATGAACTATTCTCATTAGTCAGTTAATTAGTAGTTCAATGACTCATGATCGATAACCGAATTACTCAAAAGAGCGTACCGTTCATCAAGAGCTGAGCAACTCATTTGACAGTCGTTCATGAACATAGGAATACAATTGAATACTTGAGCACAAGATATCGGTAATGACTGATTGAACTAGTTACAATTTTAATGATCCATTCAGTTAAAGTCTAATATACATGCTAAATATTTTTGTACACTTAAACAGTTCTCATTGATCGGAACCAGATATGAAAATGATTAATATATAATTAATCCTTTGATGATAGCCACAAGATGATTGATTGACAGGTTTTTGGGTTACGTTGATTGCACATCTATAGCCAGCTTGAGAGTAACCTTGAGCTTTAACGATTGCTAGCTAGCTGTGTTATACACGTAAGAAATAGGGAGTTTTACCTTTGGCGAGATGGGCGGATAAAACGGTGGCAGTTCATGACAATTTGGGCACCAGCTGGCCATATTAGCTGTTTCAGTATCGTTTTTCTTTTCGTATTCGGTATCTGGTTGGATTTTGTATTCTCTTTTGCAATTAGAGCCAAATTAGGAGCCGCAATCGATATGGTTGTGTCCTTTCTCATATTCGCTTCTTGAAATTGTGTACGTCAGAAGATATGTAGGAGAGTGTGTTTGTATCTTTGTATATATAGAGGGGCGGGGTTAGGTTCGCTTCCATTACATCTCTACTCACCTAGTACAGGCTAAACCACCGAGGCAGGGCTCCAGGGCTGCCAACATTCACACGTTCAAATCGCACATGAACGTGTAGACGATTTGTTCTAGTTGTTATTATTGTTGTTTTATGTTTATAGAAATAATAATTTTAGTTGTTTATTTATATTATTGTTGCGTTAGAAATGGTTTTATTGCTTTGGTATTTTTGTGAATTTCTATACCATTTTATTATTATATTGAATTAGTATAATTATTATATAATTGAATTATTAATATAAATTTGTATTATTACATATAAATATTATTTTTGTAATTTGTTGTTGTTGTCGTTTAATTAGAATACCGTTATTAGTTTCATTGTGCGTTGCTTGTATTAGTTTTGATCTAAAGATTTGCTGAGATTAAAGACATATTTTAAAATTTATTAAATATTTTCATTAAATTTCGATCTCACTTTTCACACATAACAATAATAAACTAGACATTCTGTTTTATTCTGAAAATCACCGTATTTATTTATAAATTATTCTCGTTGTTCACAATTTCTCAGAGTTTTCCTATTTCTCCGGACATATCACTGTAACTGGGCAGTTACCGAAGGAAAAATGAAAATGCGGCCTGGTAAATAAATAAATAAAGACGCGAAGCAACTTTTAAAGCAAAAACAGCAGCTGAGCGTCGATTCTTAGGACTAACAAGCGTTGCTCTCCCTCTCTCTCCCTGTCTGCTCTCACTCATTCTACCTTTCTTTGTGTCACTCTCACTCTCACATTGTATTTTTGGCGCATGTGCTTTAGGCGTATTCCGAACGAGTGTGAAAGCTTTTTCTTTCGTGTTGAACGCACAAATTAATTTCTGTTAAGCATACGCAATGCCTAACACAGGCATGAAAATTGAATTTAATATTTCCTTTTTTTGAGGAATTTCTTATCATTAAGTCTGCATTATTTAATTGCCATAAATTATTAACAACTTCCTGCAGGTGGGCTGCATGAACAGTTGCGGAGCAACGAACATTCAGTCCAGGAATGCGGACCGTGCGCGTGAAGCGTGTACGAGGCAATGAACGATTCCAAGAGTTGCTGCAGCCTGTCGTTGAAACGGAAACACACTGCCCTAGTTTTTAGTTGTGCTCCTCGACACATACATACATACACACACATGCACACGTGTATACAGAACAGACACACACTCACAGCACACAAGCCGCACAGCTCACATATCGTATAGAATAGAGTACACATAAGAGTGTGTGCTGCACTTAACAGGAGTTGCCATGTTTATTATAACTATGTAAATAGTTAAGACACGCTAATTTGCTGTAACTACTATCAAAACGAGCACAGCCAGTGTTGCCACAGTGTTGCTAAAATGTAAACAGACCGACCGACCGAAAGCCTTCGTGGCTGGGCGCGCATTGAACTCGTTGGGAATTGGGCTTAATTTCCTTGTAGGTATCTGCTGCAATATACACACATACAGAAATCCACACACATACACACACACGTGCGCACACCCGGACATCAGAAATGTACATATTCGGGCACTGACTGACTGACACACATATACCAATGAACGCACACAACGGGCGCCAACACCAACACCAACACCAACGACGACGACGACGACGACGACGAATAGGAAACAACAAAAATAACATTGACGATGACAACGAAGCGTGGCTAGAACGGGGCCAGAAGCTCATTCGGCAACGGCAATAGCAACAACAATTTGATACACGATACCCCGCTGTACCAAATCTCCGGCTGCCCATCGACTTTATCATCGTGTCCTTTCGCTTGGCGTTGTCGTTCTGTTCGTCGTCGTTAAAAACTGTTGTGTGCTCGTTTTGTGCGATTCAACATGAAACTGGCGCACAGTGCGTACATCGCGTATGTGTACGTGTGTATACGTGTGTTTTTGTGTGTGCCTCTGTGTGGGTAGGCGAATGAATCTTTCTAGCCATGCGTATGTGCGGGTCTCCGCTTCTTTTGAATAAAAACCCGCAGCAACGCCAGAATAAACAGAAAAAGTTGCCGTGAAGATTAAAATATTTCTTTAGCCCAGTCACAGTTCCTTTGAAATTTTTTACGGTTGATGAAATATATATATATATATATTTTTTGTATTTCTCATTATTTCACCAAATTAACTTTCTCATTTTCTAAGCTGAGTTATTTTAACTGAATCGCTTGTCCAAAAATATGTTAGATTAATTTTTCAATTTTCCATACACCTCATTCAGATATTTGTGCACTTTAATTTTTTTAATTTGTTAAGCTTCCATAATGCTTTAATGTATTGAGGGAAAAATATGTTTTTTCATAATTTCACATACGCAGTTTGAAAAATTTTCACTCACAGTATTTGTGTAAATGTATGTGTGTGTCTTTATAGTACATATATAAATATATATATATATATATATATATATATATATATGTATGTATGTATATGTATATATATATACATATATATATATATATATATATAAGTAAATGTATAATGTATATATTATTTATTAAATATATAATATAAATTTATATAATATATATGCACATACTTATATATCAATGTGTGTATGTATGTACATATATTTAATGAGGAACTTTTTTTCATTACTTTTCACACAGGCACACGACGCGCACAGGCCAAGCACCAACCTTTCTCGTCAGCAGCGGATACAATTCTGCGCGCTGTGAACTTAGATGACTCTTGGCTCTGTACAGCCGAAGCTCGCCTTTGAGCTTTTTCGGAGTGCTAGGGGCCTGGCATGACAGGCGAAGCTTGTGATTCATTAAAACTGGCGCCAAAAATGCAACGAGAAACGAAGAGTAAGTGTGTGCGTGTGTGTAGGTGTGAGCGCTTCTGTGTTTGTGTTTGTGTTTCGCTTATTTGGTGATCCGTTCACGTGGCGTATGACTTAAAAGGTGACATTTCCTGTAGCATAACTTTCTATCAAACTGTGTGCACTTGGTCGTGCATACTTTTAGGCTGCAAACTTATTTTTATACAATTTTAATATGAGCAAAACAACGAAAATTATGCAAGATATATTTATCCCAAAACCCTCTAAATTAAGACCATAACATGTTAATATTATGTTAACTTTTCGGGCTTTGTTTTAATTTTGATTAACTTATTTACATCAGTTAGGTTTATGGATAGTTGTGAACTATATACCTCGTCGGCAGTAGTTAGTTTTCAAGCCGCGAACTTTTAGTTACTGCAGCCCTGAACTTAATATGATTATCGAACCACCGATTTTTGAATTCGATAATCAAAACAGTCGTGAATAGTGAAAAATAGGTTGCTACGATTTGACAATCAGGAAATTATACAAATTTCGTGTTGCATTAGATAACACTAAGTAATAAAAACTCTGCACCAGCTACATTATGCCAACTGCCGTGCTCGGTGCCGGTATTAGTGGGTTATCAGCGGGCTTTTACTTGTTGCGACGTTTTTGCAAACCTTTGACCATTTACGAAGCATCTCCACGGGTCGGCGGCTGGATACGTACCGAATGGCACAAGGACCGCGGTTTCTTGTTTGAAAGTGGGCCACGCACAATACGCCCAAAAGGCTTAGCGGGTGCCAACACTTTGCAGCTGATCGAAGAGCTCAAGTTGCCCATTAAGCCTATTCCCAGATCACATGTGGCTGCAAAAAATCGCATGCTCTATGCCAAGGGACAAGTCTGCATGCTGCCAAACAGTGCTAAGGGCTTATTTAGAACCGTGCCACCTTTTACGAAACCTCTGTACAGAGCTCTGTTACATGACCTAGTCACAGGCAGCACTCCAATCAAAAATGAAGACGAATCCATTTACAACTTCGCCCAAAGAAGATTCGGCAAAGAGATTGCCGACTATGGCATTAGTCCGATGATCTGTGGCATTTGTGCTGGAGACGCTCGCGAAATCAGTGTGCGGTTTCTCATGGAGTCTCTTTTCGAGAATGAGCAGAAGTACGGCGGTGTGCTAAAGGGCGCGCTCTACGCTCGCTTCAATAAGAAAGTGGACGATAGCAATGGGGGTATTTTTGCCAAGGGTGAGCCCGAGCTTTACAAGCAGGCAGTCAAAGAAAAATGGGCCATGTATGGCGTCGCTGACGGTCTGGAACAGCTGCCTCGCGCCATGCGCAAATATCTTGGCGAACACGATGTGAACGTCCAGCTGAGCAGCAAATGCTCAAATCTCACCTTTAGCGGCGACGGCGCACGGATAAGTCTACGGGATGCAGAGGTGCCGGTGAGACATGTGGTGAGCGCTCTGCCGGCGCACCAATTGGCACCGCTGGTAAAAGCGCAGCATCCATCCCTATCCGCCCAACTGCTGGATATACCCTACGTGGATGTGGTGGTGGTCAACATGCAATACAGCAGCAACAATCTGTTGAAACATAATGGGTTTGGCCTGCTGGTGCCGCCCGTCGAAAAGCTACCCGTGCTTGGGGTGATCTTCGATAGCTGCTGCTTTGACATGGCTGGCAACACGATACTGACCGTTATGATGGGTGGTCGCTGGTTCGATCAGTGGTTCGGCAACCAGCCCAGCCAGAAAAAGCTGCGCGACATTGCACAACAGCACGTGCAAAAGATTCTGCAGATCAAAGAGGATCCCATATTCAGTCGCGTGCACATGCTTCACAAATGTATTCCACAGTACACTGTCGGGCATAAGCGGCGCGTGGAAGGCATAAGAAAGTACATTAAAGACTACAAACTGCCTTTGTCGTTATGTGGCGCAGCCTACGATGGCGTTGGCATCAATGATGTCATATTGTCTGCTCGCAGGCAGGTGGAGCAGCTGTCATTGGCGACGAAATATTGAAGTGCAATCTGACCATCTAAAATTCGTATATTTCCAATCATTAATTATCTTTTATATATTTTCCTTTTTAACTGTGGTGTGACTGATTTTTGTACATAAAACTCCCCTCAAATTTGCCGTTAAACAGCCATTTATTTACCAAACCCACCCAAACAGGGTGGACTTTTTTCTGGTTCCTGCTCGGGCTCCCATTGCTTAGGTGTTTTTGCCTCGATAGAGAGGGCATGCATGAATTCGAACCCAGCCGCCTTTAACGCCGTCTTGATTGTGTCATTAACCAGTCGATGGCGCTGTATGGAAAATACAGTTTAGTTCTTCTCTTTATGATGAGCTTACCTGAGCTTACCTTAATGAGCGTCAAATCATTGAATTTGTCGGATACAACGAGCACACGAAAGTGTGATTCCGCCTGCTTCGGTGTGTTGTGCATGGGCGATTCATTGCTAACGTCCAAAAAGATCGGCTTTAGCTCCGCTGTTAGGGCTTTCCTCATGGCCGTTTCTATAGGTGGATATTGCGGCTCTTGGGACATGTTTGCTTGAAAATTTCTACTGACTAATACGCCACTTGTGCTAAGTAGTTTATTCACACTTTGCGTTGAAATTCGAATGGACTGGCGAAACGTTAGGCCGAACATGTTTTTAATATTCTCTCACAGCTGTTGCACAATTACATAAACAAAATGCTATGCGGCCTGTATGAAAGATGAAATGAACCAGTTCGATTGAGTTCACGATAGTTGCACGTTAATTTGAATGAAATGAATCGCTGGCAATTCTAAGTCCAAAAAAATACTAAACGGGGTTGGTGAAATTGCTTTGACATTTAATACAAATGCTAAAATTAATTAAACTCGCTCCTTTCATCAAATATATTTTCAGCCATAATAATAAGTGTTTGAATTTATATTTATTCAGTTAAATCTAAAGGATTCATGAATGCATTGCTTGTAAGACAAATTAGTTTAGCAGACATTTTTCGAATTTAAAACAAATCAAATTCTTATGCATAATTTTAATTGAATCTTGTTTATAGCAAAAGCGTCAACAAATACATTTTACATGTAACCTAAAAACAAACGATGAATGGACATAACCAATTAAAGTATCAATCATAATATCGCTCTTTTCTATTTTTTAGTATACGTTGGTCTAAATTAATAGTCGACCAGCTTCTTTAGCTTGGGTGGCGCAGATATGACTACTCGTCCCTGATTTCCACCTCTGGAGCTACTACCATGAGGTTGGGCCTCTTCTCGCCCACTGTGAGTGCGTTCATATTGCTGCTGCCTGTATCGGTCACGCTCACGAATCCTCTCTAGACTGTGCTCACGTTGGCGTCGTCGTCGTGATTGAGATTGGCTGCGTCGACTTCGAGAACGTCGGCGTTCTCGGCTGCCACTACGACGTCGACTATGTGACCTACGTTTTCGCTCTGGGCGACTGTTGCTTCCTCTACTTCGCGACCGGGATCGCTGCCTTCTGCTTCGACTGGGACTTCGTGACCTGCGTTTCCTTTGCACGCGGCTGATACTACGTCGACTACGTGAACGTGATCGTTGTCGTTTATTCCGACTATGACTGTCGCTGCGCGATCTGCTGCGATGGGCAAGTGCTTTGGTCATGCGGGGCGGAGCTTCCGAGTCCACCGAATCAACATCGCTGTCAGAGAGCTTGCCGCTGGACGGCGTTCCGTACTTGTGGCGCAACTCTCGTCGCCTGTGAATAAAGAGATGTGAGAGGGCTTCACTAAAGCCACCCACAACTAATTACTCACCTTCGCCGCAACTTAAGCGCCAGCTCGCGCATCTCATCTTCGCGCTCCTGCTGCAGCTGACGCTCCCTCTCTGTTTTCTCAATCTCTGCACGCTTGTCGGCCTTATCTGAAATTTGAAATAGATATTTAGTGCTAGTTTATCGATGGCCGCTGGACTCGTTTTTGAACTTCACACTACACTCTCGCCGGCTTACATTGCCTGTTTAGCAGGTTTTGCATCTTGCGTTTAAGCCGCTCTCGCAAATTGGGTCGTCCACTGCCGCTTGCCTGTCCAGACCCCTGTAAAAGTCACCAACAAATCATTTAATAATCTTAACGCCGAAGTATGATTGAGAAGTTGGAGTCAGTTCTGGTTTCTGTCGAAAGTGTCGTTGCGTAAAACTTGGCAACAAGAAAGCAAAAATTGATTTAAAAAAGTAAAATTTGTTTTTGCCAAATGGACAAATTTCAGCTAAATCAAATATTTAAAATTAATTAGTACAAAAGAAACTAATTTGCAAACATCAAAGCTCAATACAATCCACTTATGATAAGACATTCATCTAAGGCGTGCCGAATCTTTAATATCCGATATATTTATATAGGAACTGTTTGTATCAGACAAATTTCTAGATTCTAGGCGAGAATTTAAAAGAACATTTACAATAAGTAGTCGGAATTGCCCGGCTAGAAGATACCCTAAGCCTTAAGCAGAGCTACTGTTTTAATCACTATAAGCACTATTTGAAATGAGTCTACTTTTAATTCCAAACCTAAACAGCCATTAGCACTAAGCACTTCATCATTTCATGCTTTAAGAACTTGGTCAAAAAAACAATTTTGATCAAAGGTAAGAAAATGGGAAAATATATACAAAAAATAGATAAAATTGTACTGTGTCTCTCGCTTTTGTACTCTACTTGATCGCTGAGTTCATACAGATGGACATACGAACAGACGGACATATAATTTATGGGATCAATCTGCAGAGAGGGTATAAGGCGTCCATGTCTGAGAGGGCCCACTGTATGATTGAGCCATGTATGTGTGTATGCATATTGGTTTGTGTCTGACTTGGATTCACATTGATTGGTTTGGATTATTTTTGGGTAGAGGCGTGAAATTTTGTGGTGTACTCCAGTTATTTGAGGCAATGAGACACTTTGGTTTTGCTTACTGACTTTGGTTTCGGTAGCAGAACTATATTTGCCTGTTTGATTACCCGTGCTGGATGACGACATCAACGGCTGAGAGCGCTCCGAGCTGAAAGACAGAATATTGTAGTTATATATAAAAATACTATAGAATCTCAAAAGAATATATAAAATGGATATTAAAACTGAAGCAAAGGCTTCTTTGGCTGATCAACATTACCACTCGTGTTGCCGTCACTTACGCAGTATCCACATCCAATTCTTCGGAGTCATCGCGATCTCTGCCGCGCAGAGGTTTGCCCGGCTGTTTGCTCTCATCTTCCTCCGCCTCGCTTGGATCACTACTTTCCGCTGACGATGATGACGTATCGTTACCGCGCTTCCGTCCATAGTAGCGCTTCAATGGCGGCGGCGGTGGCTCCGTCACTTGTGGCACCACCGGCGTTGACTTAATCACAGCTGGTGCAGTTCCCGTCATACTGAGAACACGCGAGGACAACGGATAGCTGATCATAGGCACTGCTGGCAGCGTCTGATCTGTTGGCTTTGCCAGTAGTTGTTGCTGCTGCTGCTGCTGCTGCAGATGAAGCTGCTTGAGCGGCACATTCGCTGCTGTTGTCAATATGGTGCTAGCTGTCGTTGTTGTTGTTGTGCTGAGACAAATAGTTCTTTGTGTTGCTGGCGGCGTTGCAATCTTTTTAACGTTGGAATGAGCACGACTGCGTCGGCTTGTGTGCGAGTGGGATCGAGAGCGACGCCTTCTTGACTTTGTATAGGAGCTGGCACTTGAACTGCCAGAGGAACAGGAGTAGCGCTTCCGCGATCGCCTATAGCTTGGACTACGTGAGCGTTGCCAAGAATTTGACCGAGTACGAGATTGGGAACGCGATCTGGAGTAGTAACGACGTCGTCTCCGACTGCGTGTCCGACTGCGACGATGATAGCTTCGACGTCGACTACGCCGGCGGCTTGAACTGCGTGAGGTGCTATGTGATCGACGTCGTCCACTGCGATTCGCCGTCTCGTTCATAAGCTTTAGTTTATCTAGGTTGTCTTTGACCTTTTGTGCATATGACACTGAAGCAGATGCAGATGCTGCACCGCTGCTGGCATTAATACATGACTCGCCCAGAGTCTGGCCAGGTTTGGTCAAGTTGATAGTGATCTTTGAGTGTGGCTGCATCTCATCCTCGCCACCAAATGAGGTAATGTACGTAATCTTTTCACCACCGCCCTCGGCTGGAGAAGGCGACCTCGATTCCGAATCCTCGTCTTTGTCCTTGTTTTTGCTTTGATCTTCCTTGGCTGCATAGCTGGGCGGGCTGAATGGACGGTTTGCAATGCGCCGCTCTTTTTGTGCACGTCGTTCTCGACGCGATTTACGTCCACTTAATAGCATCTTTTCCTGTTCCTCTTCACGAGCAATGCGTAGCGCATCCGCTTCGTCTGCATCTTTAGTTAGATGAGAGAAAAAGTCGTTGCTTTTCATGCCATAATTACGTCCACAAGCATTTAGTTCATGTGCTTGAGCTGTGTCCAGTTTGCCAATGTCTATGGAGACATCCATATCCATATCAGAGTCAGATTCATCTGAGTTTTCAGCCTTATCACCGGGGGGAGCAGCTGTGCTGCTACTGCTGCTGCTTGTTGGCTGAGCCGATCCAAAGGGCTGTGGTCCGATTGCCATAGTTGGCACCTCTCCGACATCATCGTACGAATACCCAATGGTGGCTCCGCCGCTACTCTTTTGTTTTTTTTTCCCCAAATTTCGCTCCGCCTCAAGCTGCGCGTTCGCACCGAATTGCTCTTCTAAATACAACTGATGCAAAAACTTGTCTTCGCTCACATTGAGAAAATCATTTTGGGCCAATATACGATAACGCTCATAGTTCAACTGGCGCTCCTCTGCCGTCAGTTCCGACTCGTCTTCACCCAACTCATTGGTGCTTTTTGCCACGGGCGCAATGTAGTCAAGATGCGCACGGACATCAAAGCGATCGATGAGGTTGTCCTGGTGTCCCTGCCAGGGAACACTGAAAGGAGAGAACAGGCAAATTAGATTTCGCACGTTGATTGATTGTTAAAGTATTATTGTATTGTATTCAATATCACTTGCATGATTGCGTCGCCATCACCGGCGGCCGCTACGGCTGGATCCAGATAAATTTTGCTGCGTCTGCCATGCAATTGCAGAAACTGTGTGGGGTCCGCTTGGATCTTATCGTAGAAATATTGTCTACGCTCAGCACGCTTGCGGTAGTCTACGATGAGGCCGCGTATGCGACGTTCCTGCTTTCGAGCTTCGTGCCACATAATTTTCCATCAATTGAATTAAGCAACGACAACTTTTTCACAGAGTTCACACACGTTCGGCCGGCAAAAATCGTCTATTTTTTAGTGACTCGTTTCCATTGGCTCTCCGTGTGCCTGCGACAGTGTTGCAAAGCGCGTGCAAACGACGCCCTGATTTGGAACTTGTTCCGCTCGAATCGGATTTACAATGCAAGCCAAATAGCATAATTCAAACCAATTGGGGTTAATTTAGACAGATCGCACTGCAAAAAGAAATAATGCAAAAAATCATGGATTAAAATTGCTTGTCTGCTGGTCAGTCCAAGCAGCCGGCTACCGAATGAGTTCTGCAACTACGCATGCGCATGCGATAGGGATGGGGTGGAAACGGATATAAAAGAGTTTCATAAATAACAGGCAAAACTGGAATGAGCCACAACACAACAATTGTCAATCGCTGCTTTAGCCGCCGCCGACGTCGTCTCAACTTTTTGCGGCATCGATTTTAAGGGCACGTTCACATCCTTTAGTTAGGTATTAAGAACGTTGGAACTAGCGCAACCAGTTTGCTGATCCAGTTTATTGTCTAATGTCTGCTAGACGTTATTATTTCGGAGCAGAGAAACGTTACAATACCTCCGTCGAAGGCGAGAATGATGGGCATTTGTACCCTTGCGACAATAAAGACAACAACAACAACAACAACACTAACAACAGCAACAATGACAATGACGATACACACAATGAGCCGGACGCCGACAAGGACGACGACTCTGAATATCTTCAAGATGTGCCATACTCGTCGAGCAGCATTGATCGCAGCTCAATTGGCTCCATACCCTGGGCAGATGATGCCATCAAAAAGAACAAACAGGATTGGGAGCGCGTTGACCGTATGTTAAGCGGCGAGGAGCCATTGCCGGAGTTGGAGCCAGAATTGCGGCATGAAATCGCCGATTGGCAACGTAAATTTCCCAGCCTGTTAGCCCGCAAAGCGCAGCCTTTAAAACAGCAAAGCTTGGACAGCAGTCGCCGCAACACATTGCCAGATGAATCTGGAGACATCGACTCTATATCCGACCTTAGCCTCAACTCTCTAGATGATTATGACGAAAGAGATGGGGACGACGACGACGACGATGGATTTCTCACGCCAACAGCAGCAAGACTGCGTGATCGCCAGCAGGCACAGCCCATGGCATCAACTCGCAATTATCTGCCTCCTGCCCAAAAACTCGTGGCCATGCTCGATAGAGACTTACACATTACATCAGTGGCGCTCAAATTGCGTAAGCGTGAGCACTCCCAGCAGCCACCAGCACCAATTACCCCACAGTCGGCTACTGTGGCACGTTCACGCTTGCGAATGCCACCCATTCTCAATGTGCTGGACTCGAATCGACGATTTCGGGGGCTGCTTAATAACCGCAGTTTTGTGCAGCTGACGCAGGTGCAGCACCAGCAGCAACATCAGCCCAAGTCAGCAGCATTGACGTATGCGAGCAGTGCGGAACGACGTCAACTGGCAGGTGTTAGATCGGCCTGGAATATGCCTATGGCAGCCAGCCGTTTCCTGAACAACAAGCATGCAATTGTGTTGCCTTCTCTGAATCGTCACAGAGACTTTAGCACGACTGCCACCTCTAGTCAAAGCATTTCCAGTGGGGGTGCCACACACAATAGAAACTCAATGGACAACAGTTCCAAGGGTAGAAACTACAACATCCAACATTCGCGTCAGTATGGGCTGTCACTGGACCAGGTTACAACCAATTCGAATACGCCCTCAACTGGTCGTTCGATCTCAGCAGCAATTCATCATCCACGATCGGAGTTTAACACTAGTAGTGCCTTCTATATACCGTACAGTGCCTCAAAATTTAAAGCCTTTAAGTAGCCAAATCCAACATTGTATACAAGAACAGTTAGCAATAAAGTTTGGCCTAACTCAGGCTTCTATGTAAATGAATAAGTGTATGTTTAATGTTGCTCGACTTGATGGTAGCTTCCATTCATACAGTTTTATTCTTATATAAGCTAAAGTTTTGATTATTACAATACAGACCATATCTCTAATTATGTGTTATTCAACTTTTTGAACAGATCTTATATTAAACCATAAATACGGATTGGAAACCGATTTTGGTAAACAAGTATACTCCGGAATATATACCGTTCACTTTTGCTAATACTTCAATAATTCTTTTGTTTCATTAATATACAGTTTATTATAAAAATTGCTTAGTAATAGTTCATTTTGATCAATCTACTAATATAGCTTAGTTGATGTATCAAATGTTCTCGATTTATTATATTTTGTTCATTTAGAGAATCTCCAATCTCCAAATACTACTTAATTAGTATGACGCCTTTTGTATATTTTTACATCTGTAGCGCTTCAACATTTGTCGACACATAAGAGCTCATCAAATTTACAGACTCATATTGTCTAGACGCAGTCGCCCATCGTTTTCCGTCAGGTATAGCGTATCTGCTAGGCATTGTTCTGTGATTAGCTCCTCCACCCGATCATTCATCTAGTAAATAAGAAAAGTAAAGTGTTATTCTAGTATTATTAACTGTTTCTGAGTAAAACGCTATGACGACTAATAATCAGCTGCCACAAAACTTTTCAAAAGTTAGATTTCAAGCCGATTCACTTCGACCAACTTACGCCTTTTGCTTTGCGTTCAGCCAGCACCTCTGGATACTTGAAGGCGGGGCCAAAGTTCACGCTGACTGTAGCGCTCTTGTGTATCGAAATAGCCGGATAATAGCTGCCCATATAAATGTCTTCAAACGCAACTCCTTGCGACTGGCCATTCTTGAAGAACTCGATTCGACTGGACTGCAGGATGTGAAGATTCTTCAGGGTCTCAGTAATTTTGTCCTTGTCTTCGTAGTACAAATGTGATTTAAATTTTACCAGAGGCTGAGAGAAAATATAAAATATAACTAGACAAGTTTGTGTCAGTGAACAAATGCACGTACGCGATCCTTGAATGTGTTGGGCAGATAGTCCATCGCTGGCAACTCGGGCAGGTCAATTAACAAGCCGAGCGTGTCGCCCTCTCCGTACGCCTCACTGTAGTGCTTGCCGTGGCTCTCAGTAAACTTTGTGCCCTTTCGCGACCTCCAGGAATAGCCGAACTTGTCATAACCTAGCGGTGCCTGTAAATTGCCATACTCTCGTCCCCAGCCAACTCGAGTGGCTGCACCCTCAGGCATCTCCTCAATGGTGATCTCATAGTACCAGCAGCCACGGTTCACAGCTAAAAGCAAAACCAAATTGATATAAAACAAACGATCGAAATAATGAGATAAGCCACTCACAGTGGGTCGCGCGAACTTGAGAGTAACCTCGCTCTCCAGTTACGGCTAGACGATCTTCGCTAATCTTCAGTTGGGGTGCTCGATCGTGCAGTGCCAGCAGCACAGAATGCGGCACTAGCGTGCGATATAGCCAACCAGGTATGGGCTTGCCGGCCCAGTCCGAACTCTCATCAAATTCCTGGCGGAATGGCGCATGCGGATCCGGCTCGGCAAGTATGTAGCGATAACCGTCCTTATTGAAGGGATGCTCGAGCGGATAGCCGTGAGGAGGTAGTTTTACATTGGCTGTAATATCCGAGCTAGGGCGTCCCTTCTTGCCCGTTGGACCCGCATCAGTCCCAGGAAATTTCCGCTTTTGTCTGTTATTCTTAGCGAGCGTAGCTGCAATGTAATAAACGAAAGTCTGTTAGAAGCCGTACGTGACTTGCACCACACCTAATTTAAATTGCGATATGTAAATAACTAAATAGTGTGTGCTGATAATCAGATGACGGTCAGAAGGTTTCCTAACTTACAATCTTCTTCGCTACTGGCAAACGACGCGGCGCTCAGCGTTGACGTCATCGCAAGGACAATATATCGCCCTAATTGCGATGTGTTTTAAATCAATTGTCGCACGAACACCTACCGAGCCACGGAGCAATCAAATAGAACGCAACTTTTTATTATATTAATAAGATTGGGTTCAGCGAGCGACACCCACCACCCCTCGCATTTAATCTGTTTAGGTGTCAGTTGTGTTTGTTTGTTTATTTTTTCATTAATTTTTTTTCTTTTGGTGGGCGTGTGTGAAGCGAGAAACGACGAACAAAATATGAGAAAATACCGCGAAACGTAATTACGATCAGCTTTTGCTTCGACTGAGTGGCGAAAAACACGGCGAGAGCGAAAACCGTGAGCAAACAAGAAAAAAATAGACATTGCCACCCGAAGTGAGCTCGCGTTCTACTGTGCCGCCGCGACTCAAAAAACAAAAACCAAAACAAGCAAAAAAAATTGGAATTTGCTTTCTCGCACTCTGAACGGAGAGGCCTTAATTCAAGTGAATAAGATAACGTATACGCAAGAGCATAAATATACAGATGCATACACGAGCTTCGTTTTTTTTTTTGTTTGGAAGAGCTTTCAAAACAGAATGCGATAAAAACATCGCTCATTGAATTATAATTTCGAGTCAAATTTTGCAACACTGAGCCCACTGTGCGTTGTCAGCTGTAACGAATAGTAGGCAAAACAAAAATGAGAGCAATATGAATAATCAGAACACCGAATCGTTCACACTCTATAAGGCAAATAATCAAACACCGAATCGTTCATACTATATAAGGCATACAATAAAAACAAATATCTACGAAAATGTGATAGGTTGAAAATAAAAAGATTCTTAAAAGGAAATTAAAAATATTTTGAAATAAATTTGTTTATAAATCTTACCCTGTATATAACCATCTTCCGTGAGGCGCAGGGCACCAGTTTTGCTCATAACCTCATAGTTCGGTTTAATAAGACGCAAATCCTGATGAAACAACCCATACATAGCACCCAGCTCAACGTGCTCTTCGTAGACAAACAACGTGTTAATATCTTTAACAAGAGAGCGCTGCACAGTCGAGTACCAAGATTGGGTAAGACGACGCGGCATCGTTGTCATGGCTTCCCAGAATTGTTCAATATAGGGTATAATTTCTTTATCTTTGTTGAACTGTATTTGAGTCCTGCCCTCGCGAAAAGCCGCCTGCTGCATGTTCGCAATGGCACATTGACACATCTGAGATATTGCTAAATATTTAGATAAACAAAATAAGAAATTGGGTCAACACGACTAGATGGTTAACAGTACTTACTCGCTTGGCTTTTGCGAAAGCTTTCCAGACCTGTGGCCGAACAATTTTTGCACACAAATATGTAATTTGTGATGAATGGCAATAGCTTGCCCTTGCCCAACTGATAGGAAATGCAGGTCTCATGAATCCAACGCGAGCATGTTGCACATAGCAGCTCGATTACATTCAGGTTGCGTTCCTTACCACTAGAAAAGTAAAACGTAAACAAATATAGTTGTGCTTATCAATTCAAATATCTGGTCACATGTGCCTACCAATAACAAACGCCGGCTGTCGTCTGCCTGTCCCCGCCTTCTGCGGCAACTCCAACGCTTACAGCAGCTGAAGCGCGGTGTTCATGCAATTGCATTTTCTCATCCTCCATGTTAAAGTTAAGTTCTGTGTTGGTTTCAGTGGGTGAGCCGCTCTCCATTACGCACTCCTCCATGTTAAATAATAATTTATAGTTGGATGTTTTATTCACAAAATATGTAAACAAATGAATGCGGCTGGCAGAATGAATTGCCAAAGCGGCGGCGAGCTATCGAAATTCGATACAAGGGACCAAAATGTGGGCACCCTATCTGTTAAAATCTAACAGTCAGTTAAATGTGATTTATGTGCACACATTCGTACTAGAAAACTGTATTAGGATAATTTGTCAGTTCGGCAGAAGCTCCAATTTAATAACCGCATGAAGTTTCATGTTTTTTCCAACGTTATGGTAAATAAACATTTATACGCACTGTCTCCTGTAAAGATAACTGAAAGAACATTCGAATTGAATTAAACAACCGCTAATTGTCTACGTTTTAGCATAACAGCGTTTTAAAAGAACAGCTGATGTTGAACGTTGCTTATCGACTGTTTAGTTCATAAATAAAGTAATAATATTTCTTGAATATTTTATTAATGAAGAACAAAATCGGCACCAGGCTGTATTTTCAGAGCAAATGTGAATTATTAAAATTTGTTATTGTGTTATATACATAGCATGCTAAACGTCTATACAGGGTTGCAATAGCAAAATCATCGACCGACCACCTCATTCTATGATGGTCTATCGTTCGTCTAGTAGCGATGTTTCCTATCGACAGAAAATATATCTAGAAAATATATCAATTCATAAAAATTTACTAGAATTTAAGAGTACTTTTTGGATGCAATGTTAGACAAGTGCGTGTTGTGTGCATGAGAGTGAGTGGCAATATAAATGGAATTGCATGGACGCTACGAACGACTGAAGAGATCGACTAAAAGCCCACCAACAAATTGCACTTTGCGACAACGGCGAACGCTGGTGGAGGCGGAAGAGGCGACGGCAACGGCAACGGCAAAGCAAACGGATCTTCACAAGTAGAAGCAGCAGCAGCTACGGCTTTCGGTGGAGCCGCACAAACTAGAGCAATGTGCGAGGTTTGCGCCGATTTCCAAAATCTATTGGAGTTGTGTAAGTAACAAAAATTTATGCTCAAAATGTGTCGGCATTTATACAGTGAGAACTGTCTAAACTTGCGCCCACTTGTCCCCCTCCCCCTTTATGTACATACTTTTTTTTATACATTTTCAGATGAGGTTCGCGTGGCCAGTTCGGAGCTTAAGTTTCAGCTGCTGCTAAAGAGCGAAATTGAGACGACATTTAATTACATCCAGTCGTGGCCACAGCGTCAGTGCATGTGCTTGTACCGGGATAACAAAAATTATGATCGGTTTAACCTAGTTGTCCAGTCGCTCATTTGTCTTACGGTGCAGCACTTGAAGCATATTGATCATCTGATCGATAGTTACAAACGGCTAACGGCTAGTGCTGCCCAAGTTGTTGCCCAAGCACAGCGAAAACCCACATCCGAAAAGCATCCCCAACACAATGAAAATGACATCGAAAGCGAGACCAAGCAGAAGGAATTAACGTCTTCGTCGTCATGTACACCACCATCGGCTGGTGACGAAAGTAGGTCAACACTAGCGGAAGCTGGCGGCAATGAGGAAAAACGTGCCTCCGGCGACGGCCCAGGCCCGCCCAAGAAACCGCCATCCCCACCACCTCCAGCCCCACCAACCAGCAGCAAGGCACACCCACAATACACAGAAGAGCCGTGGATATTGCCTGAGGTGGAAAAACTGCTGGTACTCGTATCCAAGGTATTTCTGCTCAACTTTCCGCTGTACATTGCCCACAAGCACGGCATGCACTCGCGTCTGGACGATCTGCAAGCGGAGGAAGCGCACCACTTGGCTCTAATCTGTGATCTCCACGATAACGATCTTCCCATTTACTTGCTGCGCAACGTGAGCCTATTTTGCAATTCAGGAGGCTTTGGTGCCATGTCGCTGTGCTTTGAACACCCAGATTTGCCAGTATCGACAGCTCACTCCATGACTGCTACAGTGTCCAATGTGAAACTGTGGCTCAACTATCACTGCAACACACAACTGTTCGTGCCGTTACGCAGCCGCATTCTACAATACATGTGCAAGCTTTCCGATCAGAACCTACGCTCGGCCGCAACACGAGCAATGGCCGACTTCGTATGGTCATCCATGCGGGATCCGCTTGATGTGGCCGTAAACTTCGATACTGAAGGACTGGCTCTGGCCTTCAAGTACTTCACATCGACCACATTGACGATGCGTTTGGCGGGTAAGTGCAGAATTGACATATTGATCAAATGGCTGTTCGACTGTGAAACCAGCTTTAGCTCATTCCCTTAATTGACACTAATGATGCACAGTTTTGGATTATTGTTAGCAGTTTGCCAAGATTAGATTATTTATCATACTCTTCGATTATTATATTATCTTATATAATACTGTCAATCAGTATCAGAAAATGTCTTTATTTTATATGCTGAATCAATCAAAAATTTATAACGTTTCGCGGCAAACTTATGTAGCATGTAGAACAACATGTAGCACGTAACAAAAATGCAAACTACAAGATGCTTAGCTAGGACCAGTTAATAAATTGTGTAGAATTCAAGGAAAGAGCTTAGAAGTTTATGTTTTCATAATTTTCCTAATGTTTCCAAGATGAAAACTGCTAGAATATATTTTTAAGTAATTATATTAAATAAAATATGTCCTGCATGGTATTGTGGGAAACGTCAGTCGCTTTAATTTGTAGTTAATTATTTTTAGGAATGGCCCAGATTAATGCTCACATAAATCTGTTCAACGAGATTTGCACCACTGAAACTGTGAACGAGGTGGAGCTCTTTGGACAACGCATTGCGAATTGGCTAACTGAAAATCAAATTGTGCAGCATCTGTTTGGTCCGAATTTACATGTTGAAATTGTCAAGCAAGCCCATGTACTCCTTAACTTCCTCGCCGTGGAGAATCAGATCTCCGAGGAGGACATAAAACTCATCTGGCAAGCGACACAACTCAAGCATTGCTCGAAAACAATTTTCGATATATTGCCGGCTCTAGTAAAGAATCTGGCACCACGGCCGGCCATGCACCTGTATTCGCTGCTCTGCCGTATGGACCCAAAGGAGCATACCGAACAAAGCATTTACATTGCGTCCGCTCTGACAAAGTTAATTTGGACGCGAGATTGCACTCGCAGCCAAATGAATTTAATGCAAGACCATTTGCTTGGCTCCAATGTGACGGCTTCCAGCTCGGACAGCGGCAGCATTGAAGGCAGCAACACAGAGGACGAGCACGTGGGGGCCGATGACAGCAGTATCGCAAGTGGCGGCGGTGGTGGTGGTCACAAAAGTCCTGTCGATGGGGTAACACCGTGTAAGCAAGCCAGGCACAGACGTCACATTTGCGATCCTACCACCGAGAAGGCCAAGCAAATGAGCGGCGACGACATCGCAAAGGTGGACATTAAGTAAGTCAATCCATATTCAATGTTAAATTAAATAACTTAAACGGGTTATCTTCTTTCATGTGCAGAAACCATCGCATTGTTAATATAATCGACAACACGAGCAGCGAAGAGGAACTGCAGTCGCGAGCTGCTTTGGAGTTACAGCTCCATCGCAAGAAGACAAGCAACAAGCGACGCCGGCCGAAAGCTACCAACAAGCAACAGATTCTGCCACATGAGCTGGTGGAAATTTGGGACGGTGTCGAGGATGTGCCAAGCAGCGATGATGGTGATGCCGATGGCGACGGTGAACTTCTCGCTGACAGCGATGAGTGCAGTGACAGTGCCGGTCATCAACTGGTGCCCGCTGCGGTGCTGAAGCATTTGCACGGCGAAGGTCCGTATATACGAGCCATTGCCGAGACGAACATCAGCGAACTTCTGAGCGGTGCAGAGAACGATGGTAGCTACTCATCACCTATGAGCAACAAGTCGGAGAAAAACTTGGCAGACTTTGACGACGAGGACGTTTCGCCGTGTGAGGAAGAATTGGCCCAACTTGTCAATTCGCATGGAGCACGCGTAGCTGCGCCGAATTGTAGAGATGTGGCTCCGGCCTTTGCAGCTGCCGCAGCTGCTTTGATGGCCGCTCAATCGGCCATGGCCATGCAAAAGTCTGGTGAAACCAATGTTGCCGCCGCTGCAGCTGCTGTTGCGGCAGCAGCTGTCGCCACTGGCAATGCACAACAGTCGCTAGTGGCTATGAGACAACAGGCCAATGCAGCTGCCGCGGTTGCTGCTGCAGCCGCTGTCAAGTCCAAGTCTGACTCAGATGTGGATCTAATTGAAGTCTGCAACAAGCAACTGCACTCGCCGAAGACCAGCAACGCAGCGTTTTCGAACAACCAGCCTTCTTTTAAGCTAAACGATGTTTGCCTGCCGGGCAATACGCTGCTTTGGGACCTGCTACAGGACGATAAAATTGTAAGTGCAATCTCCCACACAAAATGAACCAATCTCTAATGTCTTCTAATTGATTTAATAGACGCGCTTATAGTAAGTGCAATACATTTGCTTTTGTGAATTGTTGGAATGTTTCTTATAAAATCTTTAAATATTAATCTATAGATTGATTACATTGCATCGTAAATAGTTCGTTATGCTGTAAACTTTACCTTCACTGATATCTTCTTTCCGTTTTTTTTAGGGACAACTTGGCGAATCTTTAGCATTAGAGGCTGAGAAAGCGCTGGCAACGCTGCTTTGCTTTAGCATGGACCGCCAGCTGCGCACAAAATTTATTGAGGGCTGTCTGCAGAACGTGGCCAACAATCGCAGTGTGATCGTGAGCTTGCGCTTGCTGCCTAAGCTCTTTGCATCATTCCAGCAGTTTCGACCATCGGACACACATACTATGACATTATGGGCGGAGCGTAATCATCGCATGATGATGTGCTTCTTCAATAACATTCGGCACTATGCCAGAAGGCATGCTGAGCTATTGATCAACCAGAATGGAGAGCAGCAACAACAGCAACTGGGCCTTCAACTGTATTCGCACAAAACGCAGGTTTCTGTGAGATTACAGTTTCTCTCATCCATCTTTTCTTCGGTGGGTTCACCAAAGAGTTTTCGCCTAACGCTGGAGCAGTTGGATGCGCTGTGGGAGTGGCTGGCGCATGATCCCGAGTGCTCGGATTGTTATTTCTCATGGCTACAGGCTCAGACAAAGGGCGGAGATCAGCATGCACTTGGCATCGATGCACTGCATCACTTATACTTAAAAAAGCTGCCCGAACTGCGACCTGAAGAATTTTCCATGGTGGCACTAGGTCTCTTTCAACAGTTGTGCAGCTTTGCGCGCATTGCAATGGCCGAGTACGAGAAGCACAGCGAGACCATCAGTGCGAACTCCAGTGCCGTGGGAATGTACCACCTGTGGAAGATCGCCTTGCGCGCTCAAAGCAACGAGGTATCGCTGGCTGCGATCCAATACATAAACATGTACTACATGGGGCAGCAGCTGCGTCTGGAAAAAGAATTTGTATCTCAGTGCATGGACAATCTTGTTCAGGCAGCTACCGCACTGGAATGGTAAGTTGACGGGTGGTCACATCAAAATATTCGCACTCATTCACAATGTGTGCTCCCATCTTTGAATGCGGATTCCTAATTTTATAGACGTCTAAATAATAAATCTTTAATTGGAATATCTGTAGATTTTCTTTTTATAAATGCTTATTAAATACTTATTTCATGCTTAATATTTACAGTATTGAGGATGAGAACGCGCTAATGCGAGTACAGCGCGGATTACTGCTTCTGAATACCCATCTGGATACATTTAGACGGCGCTATGCATTCCATTTGCGCCGCTGGGCCATCGAGGGAAAGGGAATTGGCTCGCACAGCAATCTGAAGAACGAGGGCGCTGGGCCACCCCTACGAATTGTTCTGCAACAGGCAGGTCTTTCGGAGAAAAGTCTGTTGCATATGCACGCGTGTGATCTTATTGCTGATCTCAAGGCGGAGGTTTCAAAGTGGTGGGAGAGCCTGCAATCGGGCATGGCGGCACCTGTGTTGGGTCTGCTCTTAAGCGATGGTCCACTCCGGATAATTACACAGGGCCAGGAGCTAACTTCGGATTATGATGAGCGCTCCCTAGGCGATGCTGGTTTTAAAGATAATCAAATCGTTTATGTTTCGCTGGGTGGACGTGGTGCTCGTCGCAAAGAGACAAATATCGAGCATCCATCGATGTTGCCGCCACCGCCCAAGGAATGTTTGCCTACAGTTCTTCTCCTACAGCCCAAATACTTTGAAAAACTCTTCTGTCTGATGCAAACGCTTGGCGACATGAAGCCGCAATCATCAACTGTGCATCTGCAGCATCACACAAAGGCGCAGCTGTTGTCGCGTCGTGTATGGGATATTTTGGCAATGTTGCCCACAAATCCGCATATATTAGATGCTTTTAAGAACCTGGTCAACGATCTCAGCGAACTGCAGCAACTGGAAGACCAGGAACAGCTAGCCAATAAGCGCAAGGATATTAAGCATAAGTTTAAAGAGTTGCTTGATCCAAGCAATCTGCAAAAGTTCATGTATTCCTTGCACATCGTCGAGAGCCTAGCGTTAAGCAGTGGACCGCGCCAAGCTGCTGCTTCTGGTGCTCCTAGTGCCCCTGTTGGTGCTGGATCCAATGGAAATCTGATTATAAGTGAGCAACCGCGCATCAAAAAGGGCACGAACAGGCGGCACAACAGTATAGAACAGCCCGCCGAACCCAAACGTAGCAGCAGCAGCAGTGATTGCAGCAAGGAACTGGCTGGAGGTGAAATGGAGACATCGCTAATATCAAATCCACGATCGGGCAGCGATGTGGATATTAGCGAGTTGGCAAGCGGCGGTGACAAGGAGAACCAGCCGAAACAACACTGCAAACGTCAGAAGAAGGTCGATGGCCAGGAACTAGAGCGCCCACTGGGCTGTACCACACCGCCGCCGCCTTCGCCAACTTCGACATTGCCGGTGGCAGCACCAGCACCTGTGCGCAGTGCGCCGCCAGGTGAAAGTAGCAAGTGGAGCGAAGCTTTCATCAAGTGCGGTGGACTGCAGCATCTGTACGAGATATTTAGCGCAGGTCAGCTGCAGCAAAGCGCGCATCCCAAGGAGCTTGCGCTGAACGAGTGGCGTCATGATTGTTTGGCCAGCCTATTGCGCATCCTTTGGTTGTTGGGCTTCGAGGAGCTACAGACGCAGGATGTGCATGTGCTAATGTCACGGCCACATGCGTTCATGCTTCAGCTGATGGAGGTGCCGCAGTGCCTGCAGCGTCTCTCAAGCATACTTAGCGACGAAGTCCACCAGCACTTGTCTGCCGGAGCCACTTCTCTATTATTCCCCTACCAATTCCATCAACTTCGCACTGGTTTCTGGGGTCGAGCACAGTTGGTGCAGTTTACCATGAATATTCTAGTGAGCTTTGTGCATGCGTCAGCAGAGGCACGGCGATTGCTCTGGTCTCAGCCGGACCAATGCAACTGGCTGCAGAAGTTCATATTGGAAGACCCAGAGCCAGCGGTGCGTCGCGAAATCTGCGCCGGTCTCTATCGAATATGTTTGGGTAATGCTCAAAGCTATCGCCTGCTGCTAGCGCCGCTGCTCCACAAACTAATTGCGCTGCTGCCACGAGCTGAGCAGATGAGTTCGTCTGTGCAGCACACCCAGTTTTTGTTGTCGGAGGAGGGCAAAGAGCCGTACGGACCGGCATGTCGGGATTACTTTTGGCTACTGGCACGACTTGTTGACACATTAACCCCTGAAATGGTGGCCGAGGAGCGTATCGATATAGAGCTGCTATGCGAGAGCATTTCGGAGAGTATTCTTAGCCGTGACTACCATGAGCTACGGCATGGCTATCAGGATGACGGGTTGGTGGGCCTACTCAATCTTATGTCTAATCTGATTAAGTACGACACCAGCTACAAGTACAGGCCCAAGGCTTTGAGCTTCATAGAGCAGCTAATCGAATTCTTGTTCGAAATGCCGTCTCCCGCCAACCGGCAAAAGCCGAAATGCAAATCAGCCACATCGCGTGCCGCTGCTTACGATCTGCTCGTGGAGCTGTGTCGCGGCTGTGCCACCAACTACAGCTACCTGCATGGTCGACTGCTGACGCAGCATAGATCTGGTCCAAAGCAACCGTATCCCTGGGATTATTGGCCGCGTGACGAGGGACGAGCCGAGTGCGGCTATGTGGGACTCACGAACTTGGGCGCCACCTGCTATATGGCTTCCTGCATACAGCACCTATACATGATGCCACAGGCGCGTGCAGCAATATTGCGTCTGCCGCCCGCTGGCGCCCAAAAGCATGCCCCCACGTTATTGGAACTGCAGCGCATGTTCGCATATCTGCTGGAGTCGGAGCGCAAGGCGTATAATCCGCGCAGCTTCTGCCGAGTGTACCAGATGGATCATCAGCCTCTAAATACGGGCGAGCAGAAAGATATGGCAGAGTTCTTTATTGATCTGGTTTCAAAGCTGGAGGAAATGACGCCAGATCTGAAGCACCTGGTAAAACGCTTGTTCTGCGGCACTTTAAGCAACAATGTCGTTTCGTTGGACTGCGGTCACGTTTCGCGCACCGCTGAGGAGTTTTACACGGTTCGTTGCCAAGTGGCGGATATGCGAAATTTGCAAGAGTCGTTGGATGAGGTGACTGTCAAGGATACGCTCGAGGGTGACAACATGTACACCTGCTCACAGTGTGGTAAAAAGGTGCGTGCTGAGAAGCGTGCCTGCTTTAAGAAGCTGCCACAGATCCTGTGCTTCAATACCATGCGGTATACCTTCAATATGGTGACCATGCTGAAGGAGAAAGTCAACACGCACTTTTCGTTTCCCTTGCGACTCAATATGTGCCACTACGTAGAGAAGACGCTGATGCCGCAGCAATACAAGGAAGACCGTGAGAAGCGAATACGCGAACGTCAAGAGAACGAGAATGACGAGGGGGCTGAGAATGAAAAGGCTGAAGCCACATTGGACGCAGATATCGAGGAGTGCTATGAGTAAGTGGCTGCCGTTTTGGCCATTAGACCAGCAAGTGGAATGCTAATAATTGTTGGTTTCAGGTACGAATTGGTTGGCGTCACAGTGCACACAGGAACAGCAGACGGTGGGCATTATTATAGCTTTATCAAGGAGCGCACGAAAAGTAATTATCATCCGCACGAGCGGTGGTTCCTGTTCAATGATGCCGAAGTCAAACCGTTTGACCCGTCGCAAATAGCGGCCGAGTGTTTTGGCGGCGAAATGACTGTAAGCTAAATATCTTCATAATCAGATCTATATCGAAAGTTAAAATTTTGGTTTTTGCTTCCTTTTTATAGAGCAAGACATACGACTCAGTGACCGAAAAGTATTTGGACTTTAGCTTTGAAAAGACCAATTCAGCTTACATGCTATTCTATGAACGTCGTTTGCCGGAGCACCTGCAACGTCGGCACTCTGAACTGTTGGCAACCCCAACGCCAAGTCCCACTAATGAGGATAAACCAGAAACCGAGGAGCAACCCAAAGTTGAAGCGGACAACAACATCAGTAAAGAGCCCACTACAGTGGACGATGCGGAACCAGTTAAGGCACAGACAGATAAAGCGGCTCCGTTAAAGATAGAGACTGAGAAACTACTGGAGAAGGAACAAACTGAAAAGCCAGACCCGACTCAAATAAAGGAAGACGAGGAAAAGGAGCAAATAACAGCCAATTGTGATAATATTAAGTCGAATAACAACAATGAACCGCAGGCGTCAACCTCAAAGGCGGTCGTTCTCGCGGAAGCCAAAGTAACTACTAAACTACAGCAGTTTCGTCCTTTGTTAAGCAAGGAGCTAGAAGATTGGATTTGGCAAGACAACAGACAATTCTTGCAAGATCGAAATATCTTTGAGCATACCTACTTTAAGTGAGTATAATGTATATAAATATAATTTCGAAATCAACGTATTGCCTTATCTTCAGTTTCATGTGGCAAATTTGCGGCCACATACCACAGACGTTAATCTCGGAGACGGACGTCACCTGCATGGCCGCCAAGTTGTCCGTGTCGTTCTTCATTGAAACATTCATACATGCCAAGGAAAAGGTAAGAACTAAGTAAATTATATTTAGTGTTGACATGCTCTATGTGAAATATAATCTATAATTTGCAGCCCACAATGGTTCCTTGGGTAGAACTGCTAACGAAGCAATTTAATGCCAGTGAAGAGGCTTGTGAATGGTTCCTATCACATATGTCAGTTGAACCCTTTTGGCCCGTGCAGGTTTTAATTCAATGCCCAAATCAAATGGTCCGTCAAATGTTCCAACGTCTGGTCGTCCATGTTATACAGCGATTGCGGTAAGTTCGCTACGGAAAATTTGTGATATTTTACAATGGACTTCACTTTTTTTTTTATAATCCGCAGCGCGTCGCATGCTGATCTGTATCTCGGCGTGGATACAGACGAGAATGACCGGGAGCTGATTGGACAAGCATCATGTGTGACGCGGTTTATAAGCTCACTAATTTCCCTATTGGAACATGGAGCGCGCTCTCATCTGCGCCACCTGTCCGAGTACTTTAGCCTGCTCTGTGAATTCTCACGCATGGGAGATGAAGAGGCCATGTTTTTATTGCGTATCGGCGTACTTAAAAGCCTGGTCGACTTCTACCTTGGCCATAAACAAACAGATAGTGTATGTTGACTCTGAAATAATGTTTTGAGCTATGTTTTTCAATTTAAATTTTTAACACAGATTGACATCAGCTCAGATAATGAGGACAACTCTTCAGATGAGGCTCTCTCAGTAGAAAAAATGCGTCCAGCATCGCTTGATAAAATGATTGCATTGTGTGCTAGTCTTGTCGAGCGCTCGCGGGGCGCTGATTTTCGATTGCGTCTATCGCCGAAAGACTTCAACGCCATTGCCGGTGGAAAGGTGATACTGAAAAAGCTCGAAAGCGTTATATATTCCATCTAATCAATCATCCAAGCACCACCATCGTCTAACCATCAATAATCAATCCATAAATCCACCAACAAACCAATCCAATGTCTAATCCTATTACCAATTGTTTTGCTTTGTTCATTGCTTATGTGTTATATATATATATATATATATTTATTTCACATATATTTCGTAGGGCTTTCCATTTTTGTATCAACAAATAAAGGATGGCATTAATCCGCACCAGACAAAGCATTTAATCCATGCGCTCTGTCGCTGGGATGATCGTTTGGCTACACAAATCATCAGCATGCTCTTCGCATCGGTCACCAAACACACCGAGCTCTGTGCGCCTTTCTTCAAGCTGCTCACTTTGCTCACCGAGACGCAGGGCGGACCCGTTGGCCTGCCTTGCTTTACGCAACTCGTACTGCCACGCATGTGGGATGCAGCAGAATACTGTCCACAGTCAGTGCTCGACTGGCTTTCCCTGCAGGCAACCAAAAATAAAATAGCCCATGCCTGGATCCTGCAGTCCGCCGAGCAGTGGTTGGAACAGTTTCTGCTTGCGCACGATAATACGCGTGTAAGAAATGGTAGGCAAAGTTAGCTGACATTTTTATGTATGGGCGTTATATTTTAGTTTCCATTAATTTTATAGCCGCTGCCTGTCTGCTAGTGGCGCTGGTGCCATCGCAACCGTTTCGAGCCAACTTTCGCGCTCACTCACAGCATAAGTTGTTGGCTCTCAACCCGCACAGCTACCGGTAAATGCTGTTTAGCTAGTTATCGTGATATTCAGCATTATCAAATTGTCTTGTTTCCCTATTGCCTTGCAGCGACATTAACAGCGATGCCCAAGTCGTGCTGCATCAAGTGATAACATTGCTGCTGCGTCTGCTACGTCCAGCACGTGTCTATGCAGACATAGGAGCACATGGTACCACGAAGCTGACGGCCTATTTTAACCTGCTCAGCTACTGTATGGTTTCAAAGACTGAAAAACTAATGGCAAGTTTGGCAGTTCACTTGTGCCCAGCAGGTTAAATATTTGTTTTTCGTTTACAGATAGGTTCGTTTATGCGCTCCCTGTGGGAGCTGTTTCATCCGCGTCTCTCTGAGCCTAGTGTTCCGGCGCATCACAACAAGCACGCACTGCTCACCTTCTGGCATCACTCGCTTGTGGATTGTCCGGAAAACGCAACCCAAGTGGCCAATTGCCCTGAGATAACACGAAACATTGCATTTAATTATATACTGTAAGATAATCATGTACAATTCAACACAATTTTGCTTTAACTAATCTGATTGTTTCCATTTAGTGCCGACCACGATGACTCGGAGATTGTTACTTACAATCGGTCCATGCTGCCCGCTTACTATGGGCTGCTGCGTTTGTGTTGCGAGCAAAGCCGGGCACTCACCCGACAATTAGCGCAGCACCAAAATCTACAGTGGGCGTTCAAGAACATTACGCCACATCCCACTCAGTATGCAGCTGCTGTCGATGAACTGTTCAAGTTGATGGCACTATTTGCCACCCGCCATCCGGATGCCAATGAACAGGAAAAACTCGATGTCATAGCTTTTAGGCGTTCCGTTATTGTATCGTACACAACCAGTCTGGATGCGCGGGTCTCCTGGTCAACGCTGATTAGCGCGCTGAAAATACTTGGTAAGTTTTTATGAATGTATAGCTTTATAATTTTATTTTATCTCTAAAGAATTTGCTGTGTGTTTCTTTTAGTCCTTGGTACAGATCCAAGATTACCTATTTGTTTATGTGTTTATTGTAATTCATACTGATTTATTTCAAAAATGGTGCGGTCTTATATACAAAGGGGATAAGGGGGGTAATGTAATGCATATAAGGATACGTATCCAACGATTAAATGTTGGATGGATAAGGATTTGATTTTGAAGATATATTTATTCTGCAATAGTCCATAAAACTATTGAATATATACTATATATCTTTGAATGCCAGAAATATACGTTCCATCTTTTTTAATATCGAGAACCCGTAAATAATGTTATATCGAATGCTAATATAGATGTAAACAGCTAAGAATAGCTTTTCTCAGGATCAAGAGTCGAGATATTCTTGTTATGTCCTTTCGGCTATCAGTATGCTTCACTATAATTATAGTATAAATAATAATATATGTTCATCAACTGATATATTATATATTATATATATTCCTGTAACACAGTGGACAATGACGACGATCGCATGCTGGTCATCTTCAATGGCGGCATTGAGATGTGCTTTGAGGCGCTGCACACGTTACATTCCATGCACCACGAAGCCACCGCCTGCCATGTGGCTGGAGATCTATTGGATCTCCTTGGAGAAATGGTGCTCCTGCTGGCGACGCTACGCATGCGCACAGATAACCCAGCGCAAAAAAAGCAACAACAGCAGCAACTGGAACAGCAACTGCAACTTCAGCAGCAGCAATTGCTGCAGAAACAACAGCAATCACAATGTACCCAAGCGCCACAGACACCCCAGCAAAAAGAGAAGCAACTGCAGCAGCAAATGCAGCAGCATCTGCAATTGCAGCAAATGCAGCTGCAGCAGCAACATTTCTTGCGCCAGCAGCATCAGCATTCAGCCCTCGCAAAGGCTTTGCCAGATGCAATTAAACGTCTCGCCACGCTTCTGAATACATTTAATTCGCCCGAAATCAGTCGCATGGCACTCGAGGTGCTCAAGGAGCTGGTTCGCAACACCAGCCTGGAGGCTACGACCATTTTGGCGCCTATTTTGATTAACTGCCATTTATCAGTGGCCAATGCACCCAACGCGATTGGCCCATTAGGACCCTATTTTCCACGACGTGGTGCCAAACAGACGCCCTGGCCATTAGGTTCCAAGAACTCACCTCGTCCCCCGAGGCCGATGGTGCAAATGTGTATAGCTTTGTCGGAGTTGACGCCGCGCGGTCTTGACACCGAGTACGACGCACAAGTGGATGCCTTCTACAGGCCGTATCATGACTTTATCGATGTCATGCTGCGAATGTGCGTCAACACAGGCACACTCAACGACACGCTGGTCAAACTTCACTGCTTGGTAGCCATAGAGTCAACACCGTTGCATTTCAACTACTTTCCCAAGTTTTGGGTGGGCATACACAACAATGCCTTAACAAACAAGTGAGTAAACTATATCCGCATTTCAAATGTGCTGTGTGTACTTACTGTACTTTCCATATCTGTTATTTTTGCTTTTAGATATTCAGATTTGCTTGTGAGGAATCAGCTGCTAATAGAATATTTGCATAATGTGCTAAGGGACGAGCGGAGCATGCTGAAAGATGCATTTGTGCGAGAGTTTTTGGAGCTATACTATCACAAAGTTGCAGCGCAACTTCCTGTTGCACGAATGATCTACACGATTAACTATGGCATGCACTCCAAGGATGACATTGATGAGCTGTGCGGTGATCTATTTGCGATACGCATTATTGCTCAAGCTACTGGTGTGCCGACGTCAGTGCGCAAGGAGCTGCGTGGATCCCTAAGAGCACTGCTTAACAAGAGTGAACGCTATAAGAAGGATGCGGAAAGAGGTAAGAGGAAAGAGGAATCAGATGAAAGAATATTACAAATTTTTAAATATATTTATTTTTAGACCAATTTCCCAACAAGAAGCAAAAACGGGACTCTTCCAAAGAAAAAGAAGAACCACATTCCACTGGGCAATCTGAGGCAGATAAAGAAGACAATTTGACGGAAAGCAAAGAGAAAGTCGTAGTAGTCGACAATGCGAGTGCTGCAGATGTGTCCACGGATGCGCCCAGTGATACTGTTAGCTCAACTGATACTGTTACTACTGTTGCGGAGAATGTCGTGGAACCAGCGACAGTCGTTGATTCCGTAGACGAGCGTATGGAGAGCCCAGCATCCGAGAACCTAGAAAAAGCATCGGTTCCCTCATCAGATGATGAAACTGAACTTGAGGATGAATTGGAGCCGACACCTAAGCGCAATAAAAAATCAGCTAACAAAAAAACTGCACAGGATCGTCTGAACGAGGATCGTAAGAAACGGCTAAGCACCTTGCTCACTATGGAGTCCTACATACAAAGCATTTTCGCGATAATTAAACGGGAAACGATTGCGTCGAACACTGCGCAAGGCAAGGACCATCCTGGTGATGAATTCGCAGTAGAGGCATCAACATCAGCTGCTGCTGCAATCTTGCTGAAGCCGAAAGGTGCTTCAACACCTCCAGAGGTCGAGGACAATGTGCCACAAGGCAACTACAACATTGAGATGGACACAGAGAGTCCTGTCAAATCCAAGTCAAATGACAAGGTTGAGGAGATGGACAAACCCAATGAATCATCGCCTGCAACTAAGTCTGTTGCAAACACAGTAAACACTGTTGTTCCCACAGCCGTCGCCACCCCAGCGACAGTTGTTGCACCCACATCACAGGCAACGAGTCCCAGTCAAATTTAGTTGTCGTTCAATGATTTGCTCAGCATTTTATTTTTCGGCAAGCCACTGGACTGATGGTACGCAAGCCGCGGATCAAGTGATGGCTAAGCTCTAGAGTACTACAAATGTTTGACCAAAGGTCAGAAATTGCATGGAAAAATTTGAACAACCTAAGGTTGGTGCTGCTTGCTTTCGGCGGGCCTGTGCTCGGGCAAACGACTTTTGAGCAAATGAATAAATAATACGAAATTAAAGTTAATCTAGCAACATATTAAATCGGTAACAAAAAATTCAAATATAAATTGAACTCACGCGGAGACAAACATCCGCACTTCGCGCACCATACATCCATCCCACACCCACTCACGCATAGACATGCATGCATTAACACACATACATATATAAATATATACATCCATAAATACATAAATACATACATACATACATACAGTTAGCAATAATGATGATGACGTTACTATTTTAAGACTTCCACGACCGTAAATTGTCCAAAATATTAAAAATCACATTACTCCCATTTCAAAATGATAGTTAAGTAAAAAGTTTACACATATATTCAATATGAGAACCTTGTTATGCACTACGAATGCCAAAAGCAACAGCATTATGGGCAACATAAAAATGAAAAACAAAACAAACAATTGATAATGAAATGATATGATGAATTGAGTTGAAAAACGGCTTACGAGACGCTAATATCTATATATGTTGTAGTAGAACCTTTAGGTACGTTTTACGCTGCTAATTACTTTTTGGTTTAGTTTCCTATCATGTTCACTGTCGCTACCCTTCCTCTCCCTATCCATGTGTACTATAACTGTATGTTAGACACAAATGAACAGATATTATATAATTAATCAACTCTATTTTTTTTTAAACAAAGGATGTGCGACAATTTTCATTGTAAATTGCTGAACGATACGAAATAATTAAAACTTACGTTCTTTACTTCTTGCAAGAATAAATTGTAATTACGCACATAAGTCTAGTTAGTAGTCCATGTGAAACATAAAGGACAAAGCTTAAAAACAAACCATCCCTTTAAAGGGGCGCATATAATGTTAGTCTTAAGCCACAGCAAACGATCGAAATCTAAAGTATGTAATGTTGATCAACAAATACAGATTCATAAGCAAATAATAAAACCATGCAGAATATAAGTCTAAATATTGTGTAATGAAACATATAGTTGAAAAAGGACTTAAATGGATTTCTCTGTATTTCTATTATAGATTAACGTATTTTGCTGCATATATGTCGCTCTCTCTCTCTGGAAAATCTAGATTTGCGAGTATTATATATACAAATCGAAAATCAAGACACAATTACAATTCTATTACTCCTTGAGAATAGATAGATATTTCTACCCTATTGTTCACTTAATCACTCAACATGGCTTGTGTTCATGTTGTTCTTATTTAAGGCTATTTTGAATAGAAACAACGGTCGGGTCTAACTATTTGGTATCGTCTATACTGATTCTTATTGGGAATATACATATCTATTTTGAATTACTCTCTGAGTGAACAACTGAGACTGCCCTGAAAGCAGAGTCATATATTTTTCAGATATTGTCGAAATGTCATTTTATTGATTACCTGTTGAATTCGATTCCCAGTTTTATATTCAAGCGCATGCGCTGCGTGAAATGTCAAATTGATATAGACACACACACACATGTGCACTGACTGCTACTTTCACAATTCATTACTTTCTTCAACAAGAACAAAGCAACTATTGTGAGAAAATGCCTTGTGTAGGATGCGAAAAGGGTAAAACCATATATAATAAAAATTATTTATATTTATATTAATATTTCATGCAGCATGCAAATGCACCGCGGACAAGTGCTCCAAGGAGTGCAAATGCGACACGCCTGGAAAATGCGGCTGCAACTCTCCGAAAGCAGAGGCCACGTCGAGCAGTTGCTGCTGCAAAAATGTGAAGGGCGCTGGCGAGGGCAATGAGCCGAAAGACTGCTGCAAGACTACCAAGAACTGAGCCAAGAAAGATGAATGAATAATTACAAAAAAACCAACTTGATGTATTTTACTTCCGCTTTTGATTAAAATATATCCGATAGTATCGTATCATCTTTAAACATAATCGATTCGTAATTGCTATACATTTATTACAATAACTAAATCAACTAAAATATCGTATAAATATAATACCTTTACCAAATTAGAGAGCTGTTTAGAGTAGATGGCAATAATTCATCCTAATTTCTAAAAGGCGAAATCAATTGAAAAACAAAGGTTGATTAATATGGTGAGTACGTTTAACAAACGAGCCAACAACAAAGTGCGTTTTATTTGATTTTTACATGTTTAAATTGCTTACTCTTTTTCTACAGCAAAAGGTGCAAGGGGCAAGAATTATGATTAGGATTAGAATTAGAATTAGAACAGTTCACTTTATAAATGAGGGACAGAAAGAAAATGTGGGAAATTAAACAAGTTTAAATTCGTTAGCGATTTCTTTATATTACAGCGTTAAGGATTGGGTCTTCAGTTTTCTTTTCAATATAAGTAAATATATATGCATATAAAAAACAATTTAAAATTTGATTTTCAACAAATACGAGCCACTTACTAAGTATATTATTAAATAGAGTTATATATTACTTCGCGCTACGCTGAGCCATTAAAGTAGTGTATGTAATATAAAAAACAATATTCCTTTCAGGGCGATTAACTACTAGATTTTTGTTTCTATCCGATGTAGGGCTTAAATTTATACAAATCAAACGACGACGGCGACGACATTTCAAATGTTGATAAAAGCGGCTACAGGACTTAATTAATTGCGCTTTGATTTGCGCTTTTTGCGACTGCTTACGGCTGCTGTAGATGAATTGGAGCCGGAGCAGTGGGTCGTTGTCTGAGGTAAAGTTTTCACCCCACTTATCTTGCCCCAAATGCTACTCAATAAGCCGCCACCGACGCCAACGCTATTGTTCTGATAATTGCTTTTTTTGTTTGATTTGCATGCAACGTTGTTGTTGTTGTTGTTATTATTATTATTATTGTTGTTAGTCGTTTGTGGCTTATGTGTCCCAGGAGGTTGCGACTTGTGCTGCGTGACTTGGGCGTATTCTCATGAACGCTTCACCTTGCCATTAACAGCATTGGCAGACGACCGACTACCGCTACTACTGCCACCAATGGCAGCCTCAGTCGCATGCGTGGCCACATGCTGTATGCCCTTCTCCATGCAGCCGTGATAGATTGGCCGCATGAACTGCAATTAAGTTAAGTTAAGCATTGTTTTGCATCTTGGCAAATCACACTTACATTCTCCCACATGAGCGTTGCAAATTCATCCAGCTTACCGCCGAAGTCACTCAGCTCTCCGCTATATCTGTGGGTATGGCAAATGGATAAAGAGTTAGTTAAGGAGGTCGCTCATTTATTGGCAAGTCAGATGCCGATACCCACCTTATGTAGGCCCAGAGCGCTAGCGTCAGGAGCGCAACACCCATGACTAAATTACAGAAATTGGCAAACGTGTAGAGGCCTACTAAGCCAAAGATTCCGCTAACTATATACATGATGACGGCGCAGGCAAAGTACACGGCCGGCGTACGCGCTGCCTTAAAGATATTTTTGCTTTCATTATGTGCCCGATAGTTGACGAACACGTCCTCCAAATCTGCGTCCAGCTGTTGGCGAAATCTCTCTGTGAACTCTTCGCCACCCATTTTGCGTTTCGTGGCAAACTGAAACAAGGCCTTGTCCTTAATGCGTAAATGTTCAGTTTCGAGGTGTGCAGTACTTAAATAAGGCCGCGTACCACCACACACTTCCTCCATGAGCTGATTGTACAGCTCCTTGGCGGCCGCGACGGCAGTCAAGTGATTCGCTTCGGCCGTGGCCACCAACATGCTCTTCGGCTCGGGCAACTCGTTGCCCTTGTAGATACTCATGTACGACTGGAAGTACTGAATAAGGTCACGAGCTCTGACGCGTTGACCACTAATTTCCTTGTAGACCAGATTGTCTGGCGCCAAGAGCATAGGAACCAGAGTTCTGAGACTGTTCTTGAAGTCTGGCGTTATATCTTGCAGACGACCATCGAACTGAGGATTTGTGGCTACATTGAGACCAGGATGTGGCATCAAAAAGCAGGCGACCTCAGTGAAACAGGAAGAAATGTGTCGACGTAATGACTGCAATTCGGGATGTTGTTTGTCCGACACTTCCAGACGACGCTTAAGTATCTTGTCCCCACCCAAAGCGCCGTATTCCGCCTCATACGGGAAACTCCAGTCACGAACCAAAAACTGCAAACGCTGGAATGGCTTCTTGCCAGTGTCTGCCAGCGCTAGTCGACCGTATTCGGTGAACAACTGCAGATGTTGTAAGTCATCTTCCTGTATGTTTTGTGAGAGATTATATATCTGCACCGATGATAGCATTGTGCTCAGTGCAAACACTGTCGCACAGTCGCGTACGGTGCTTTGACTGTCAAAGGCACCTTGTGTGTCCAACAGAATGATGGCAATCTTATCGCCATTGGGATAATCGTGCAGGAATATGTCAGACCACATTAGAATGCCGGTGGTATCTCGCTCCGATCCGCCACGCCATGAGAAACCGGATAGCGGCTCCGACTCATCGCCCAGCCAGTCCGTGATATCATGTCGTACATACTGCAAAATCACTTTAAATTAACAAGCTTCAAGCAAACGAATTGCATCCACTATACCTTTGAGTACATGTAGCGAAGAAAGAAATCGAGCAGAAAACTCTTGCCCTTGCGGAACGCACCCGCTACGGAAACAACGCAAACGTAGCGATCTTTGACCTCAGCCCGCATTAGCACCTCACTGAGCGCATCCTCGTTGAGCAAGAATGTGTGCTCTTCGGATGCATTAATCACTTGCACCGCCGAGCCGCTCATTGTTGTCCTCTCCATGAGTTAGCTATGTGTGTGTGTGTGTGTGTGAGAGCGCGCGTGTTTGCAATGCAAATGAACTGGTTTGGGTTTTCGATATTGTTTTGAAGTTCTGCAAAAAGAAAATAAAATAATTGAAAGATTTAATAATAGTTGCTTTGTACACGGAAAGTAGACGACATGTATATATGTATATATATACATATATACATATGTATTTATGTATGTACATTTCTCTGTATGCATGTATATATAACGGACCTATTCTCCGCTAGATCAGAAGCGGCAACTGAATTGAACTAACGGTTAATTGCGCAAGTTCTATTCAATTGCGTATGTGGCTGTCCGTCTGTCTGTCTGCCTGCCTGTGTGCTCTTTTGAATTTTGGCATGGGATTGTGGCATAATGTGTCAGGCCGCCTGCAATTATGAGACGAGGCCAAAAATAAATTCAACTATGCGCTAGTTTTGGTGGCATACGGAAAATGAATTTTGTTCGGCTTGTTTAATTCAGGTGCGTAGCTTTAGCACGTAATCAACTTGGAATTTTGTTGCTTCTTTTCTGCTAAGTCGTCACACAATTCGATTAACATCAACATACTGAATTTGATTTTCCAAATGTATTCTGAAATAATATTGAAATGTTTTGCTGACCAGGTCACTCGCCGCTGCTGTTGCTGATGACGTTGACAATTTTTTGTCGCTACGCCAACGGCCAACGCTGTAAATTTTAATTGCAAGCTTAATCAAAACTACGTAATGTCTGCAGGCGGTTAGTTCCATATAGAATAACACAGTAATAATAATAACAAATCAGCCATACCTAAGCAAGATACGCGATTCTCAACAGAATATATACATGTACCTGCACATGTACGTTCCTCCTATTAGTTACAATATTTATCAAATTGAGTTAACAGACAAAACCGACGTTGCGACAGTCGGCGCCACTGTCAACCAACTAAACTCAACACGCTACGCAAGTCATTCGCTCGCTGTTCGCATATTCAACGAGCTTCAAGAGAGAGCTATCTTCGTCAATCTCTCTCTAGACCAGAGGCACTCTCTCTCTCTCCCTCTCTCTCTCTGGCAACCGCTGCCAGATTGGTCAGATCAGCCAGGTGCAGCTGTTAAAATTATATTTTTTAATTAACAACAATAAACGAAAAGTGACAAAAGTCACACGTCTCTTATTATTTATGATATTGTTGGTTTCTAGTGTGTCAGCTTTTGGGCTTAAAAATATTAATACACTGTTGGCAACACCGTCTTACTATGTCTTTCGTGTTGTCAAAGCTGTGCTCAGAACATCAACGTTAGACAGAGCCGACTATATGGCTCGATCGACACGTTCGATGGCAATCAACACAATGGCTGTCTCGCTTCGGCTTAGCAGGTATTTATCGTTGTGCGATGTAAACAACGCTAGCAAAAAGTAACAGCAACAGTTGCGACGACAGTGACAGTGACAGTGACGCCAGCGTCGACGCTGGCAGCATGATTAGTCAACTGGAATGGTTGCTGAGAGCAACAGCAACAGCAACAACAATGACCAAAGCAAAACGAGGCAAGCAGCAGCAGCATTAATAGTGGCGTTCTGAGCAGCGCTTAAAATGCAAGAAAAAAACATTGGACGTGCCAGGGGGAAAGCAATATAAGAGAAATAAAGGCATAATTTGTTTAAATTAGGCTGCAAAAAGTGTTTAATTAGTTTCAATTATAGTGACAAACTAGAAGGTCCGCACCAAAAGTATACCTGGGCACACGAGGTTCCATCACTCGCCAAGCTGACTGCGCTGTCACAACATGCAGTGTGGACACCGCCCAAACGCAAGCTGGCAGCAGCAGCTTGCATCTATGTACCTCGTGGCCATTTGCTTGTTGTCCAACTATGTTTGCGTGTCCGTGCAGGAGTCGCAGGATTTTCTGGCCGTGGAGCCCGTCTACTATTATGTAGGGTGCTATACGGCCCGAACGGATCTGCTCAAGGAATCGGTGTACGCGAAGATGCCACAAACCTGCATAGAAATCTGTGAGCATCAGGGGCACAGATACGCAGTGCTAGCTGCCGAGAAGTGCTTTTGCGCCAATCAACTGGAGCCGCAAGAAAAGCAGGACGACCAGCTCTGCTACACCCGATGCCTGGCTAACAAGGCACAGTACTGCGGCGGCGTGGGTGTGCATTCATACTACTCCACAACGCTGCTGAGGCAGCCAGCGCCGCACCATCTGCGCGTGGTCAACAGCACGGAGAACAGCATCAGCCTGGCCTGGGATGCATATGAGTCGAAGAAGCTGTTGCTGGCTGGCAGCGCAGAGGCTCTCGCGGCACAATCTCAGCAAATAGCCAACATTCTAATCAAGTGTCAGATTGTACAGACTTACTCAACGCTGCCCGCATTTCTGCAGCCCGAATTCATAGTGCAGAGCACGGAGACACGTTTCGAACTGACCGATCTTCATCCTGCAACTCTTTACAACATCAGTGTTCGCGCCATTTGTGTGCAACAGCAACAAGAGAAGAGCGAGTGCGGCCATGCCACACTTAAGGCCAGCACCGAGGTAGGTTTACCCAGCCCAGCGCCTGCACAACCCAAAGTTCTGAGTCGCACGAAGGACAGCATAACCGTGGAGCTAGCACCCGTATACAACGACAACGGACCGGTAACGAAGCTACTGATTATTGTGGAATTTGTTGACGATGCGCTGAGCCAGCCATTTGATGCACAACTGCTGGGCAGCTGGCAGCTGGCGCAGCAGACCGGCGTTCCTTACTACATAGCCGCTGAGCTGGACTACGATCGGCCGGAGGACAATCGCACCAGGCACTTTGTCGTGGGCGATGACAAACGCTATGGACGCTATCACAATGTGCCTCTGGATCAGTTCTCCAATGAACAGGAGAAGCCCTCCCATGTGCATGTCAGCTTGGGTGTGGTGAGTAAATACGCGAAGAGAGACACACCTCAAGCAGTCTGAACATAATCCCAACTTGTCTTCACTAGGTAAGCACACTGCGAAATATCACCAAGACGCTATACACGCGCAGCAGCCATGCACAACATGCCAGTTCGTTGGATGACTTCAGCTATGCGACCTTTGAAAAGGGTCAATCGTCGGTGGTAGCACTGGCTGTTACCTGTGTGATCTTTGGCAGCTGTTTGATTCTGAGTCTTATTACCTACTTTTATTTGCGCTACAAGACCTGCCATGCTCGCGGGTTGCCTGGCCGCAGACGCAACGCTCACGAAATGACGCAGCAGACGCCCATCATCGAGCGAGAGAACAACGGATATTTGGTGGAGGACGAGCTGCCACCCACGCTGGAGAGCTTCAAGCAGCAGTTCAAGATGGCAGTCGAGGGACTGGAGCAATTGCCACGCAATGCTCTGCGCCTCAATGCTAATGATGTTATTGCTGATGGTCGCTACGGAGAGATTATAACCGGACGGCTCAGCGAGGGCGACGCTGTTAAGGACTGTGCACTTCACGTATTATCGCTGGATGACCTGAGCGGTGTGTCGCAGGCACAACTATTGCGTGAGCTGCGGCAGCTAAAGAAATTACGCCGTCACGAACTACTCATAGATTTTTATGGAATCTCGGCAAGCGCTGACTGGTTCTATGTGATCTTTGAGCTGCAGCGTGTGAGCCTCAAGCGACGCTTAATCGAGAGCCGTCAGCCAGCGCCTGCGGCACGCCTAACAGTACTATCGGAACAACTGGTTCTGCAGTGGATGTACGAGCTGTCAAGTGGCATGTCGTATTTGGGCAGTTGTCAGGTGATACACCGGCAGCTGTGCGGCTACAGCGTTTACGTGTGCGCTGACTCCAAACTTAAGCTGTGCGTCTTTGGTCCACTGCACTATGTGACTAACAATGGCCAGCAGCTGGATCTGGACCGATGGCTGGCGCCAGAGGTGTTGCGTCATCAGCACTACACGACCAAGTCGGATGTATGGTCCTTCGCCTGCGTTGCTTGGGAGTGCTGCGCTCTGGGCGGTACGCCCTATGCAAATATAGCCAGCAGTCAACAACTACTAGAAGCGATACGCACCGGCGTGCGCCCAGCGCAGCCCGCCTATGTCTACGGGGATCTGTTCCAGCTGCTACTCAACTGTTGGCAGCTGGAGCCCAGCGAGCGCATTGGCTTCGAAGATGTGGCTTTTGGCATACGTCAGCTGATGACGTCTCCCAGGCACGCGCTATGCTTTGATCGCTCTCCCACGGACCCGATGGAGACGCTGCCGTTGTACCTGCCGATGCTCGAGATAATCAACTAGTCTAGCCCCAGAACAGCACCGATTATAACTTGTAGTAGGCCAAAATAATATACATTCGACAAACAGCTTAGAATAAATATAAGAAAACCTTAAAAAAACCGTTAATAGTTTTTGCTTCCAAACGTATTCTATGTACGAGTCTTTATCAAAGAGTTAACATATATCATATGAGCCATAAATGTGTGTTCTTTGTAAAGTGTTATCAGTCCGTTATCAATGACAAAACCGTTAACTTATCAATTAACATATTAGCAGAGTTAAGTGAAATATTAAGCCAAAAATAGGTATGGCTGAGAGAATTGTATTTAAAATTTCAAGCTTCACTATAAAAATAAGTGAAGGACATTAAAAGATGTTTCATTTCATAGAAATCATTATTGATAATCTAAATCTTTTGTATTCTCTTAAAAGCAGTTCTTTATAAATTATACTCTTAAATCCTTGTTGCACAGTGTAACGAGTCCAAAACTAATCGAAAGCACAGACACAGAGAGCCAGGTAAAGAGAGTGAAAGAAGAATGAGAGCTGGCAAAAGGTACTGCGAGCGTGTTGCTGATCTTGGGTGAGCACACATAACAATGTATATAATAAAATATAGCACATACATATGTAGCGCATATAAAAACTGACGATTAATCAGTTTAAAGGTCGTGCGACTAGGGGGTCTGACGACTCTTTATAAAATGTAATGGTTTAATTATTTAATTGGGGGAAAATAAACACAAAGTGAATGCACCGAGCATATGACGAGGATTGACTAGAAAAATACTAATTTTTATATATAATTGAACCAAAATGTTATACAGAATTAATACTAAATTCTGGTATTTTTTTAAGAACTCTTGGTATTGAATGACCACAAAATATGAAAGCATATTTCATTTGTACAATTAAAATGTTTACGCATTAGTCATAGATGCAAGTGGACAGTGTTTCTAGTTAGAGAAAAATTAACTTTAGACGCACACACACACGCACACAGATGTGAATGCTCGCTAAGTACGTGTAATGCGCAAACATCCAATTGGAAATGTAGTGATAATCTGGCAAGCACCGTTAGGAGCCACGAACAGCTGATAAGCGATCCAATTGAATATAAAATGCTATACAAGAAGCTAGTAAACGTCCAAGCACATTTTGTATATGGCTGAAGTTTATTAAACGCGTAATGAAGCGCAACGATCCAAAGTAGAAAATACAGCAACAAAACTAAATATATATACGCGTGTATGTGCAGGCATGTATGCATATATACATTTATATATATATACAAACAAATGCTTCACCGTTTTAGCGCTCAAACGACTTTTGCACTCGTCGAGTCGGAGTCAAGGTGAATGACGTTACCAAACAGGGCAAAGAGTCTACGGCTACGGCTACGGCTATAGCAAGAGCAAAAACAATTAAAATCATTGGCACACATATTCAGATATGAATGTTTGTATATGTATTGGCATATACAAATTATTAATAAATCAAGCTGTGTGCCCTGAAATGACGCTACTCAACCGCTAGCGCAAGAAATTCGAATGGGTACGTGGGCAAAATAAGGGAATATACTGGAACCACTAACAACGATAGCTGGGAACTTTAACTAGTACTGCACAAAATTTAATGTTTTGTAATTTCAATAGAAAAGAGATGCACAACCATACATACATACGCGTAGACGACGCAATAAAATTTGTTTTTGTTTTTATTACACACTCTTAGTTCTGCGACTCGAGTGGGGGGTACTTTAAAACTCGTTTCTTAGCGTTGCTTGCAAATTATTGTCCACACAGCCAAATACTGTGAACAGTTTGTAAGTTATTTTTATTCACAGATTCAACTAAAATATTACTCACTTTAATAAACAATTCGCCACCAACACGCCTGCTGTTGTTTGCTCTTTTTTTTTAACATTTACTTGCTCGCCTTTTCTGCTAGCGATGAACATGCAATCGATATATTCTACGATACAATATATCTCAGTGGATGTTTAAGGAATCGATAGTAGTAGGTATCGATACCTGTATTAGAAGAAAATGAAATTTTTTAATTTTAGTTTGAAACTTAAGCTATTTATTTTAAAACATTAAAAGCGAAATATGAAATTTTGATACACTTGCAATACAAAAATAAATGCATTTAATTAAATTGTCTAATGGATTGAAATGTAGGCATTGGTATGCAAACTAAATGTGGTAAAAAAACAACTTTGTTATTCTTAGGATCACTGATAAAGGAAGTCATTAACATAGATCTACATATGTATGTATTGACTTTAGTGTTAAATTATTTTCCCAGAACTTCAATTCAGTTGTTTCAATCATTTGCAATGCAAATTGCGAGCTCTTCCGACTGCTGCACTTGCTGTTCTTTAGTGGAATTAAATATACAAACATCTTGCGAGACTTTCAATGTATATACCATGTATCAACAATATACAATGTTTATATATATGTGCAGACCTTTGTATATATTTTGCGAATTGCATATCTTCTTACTTCCTTAATTCAGCAACGACGACTTTAGGTAAAAGAAGAAATTAAATAAATATTAATGTCAGTTTTTGATGTTTTATATTATTATATTATATTTATATTATTAAATATATATAAATATAGACAAAATGTACACATGTATGCAGATAGGTAGATATAATAAAATTTGATATACTAAACAAATTAAATTTGATTTCACTTAGTTTTTTTTAATTTTAATATCTTTTTTTCAGTTACATATTATAGCTTTTTTTAGGGTTTTTCAATGAGAATATTTTTTGGTTAAGACCTAAAACTGTTCATACAAGAACAACTTTTTGCATTTCTCAAATTATGTTAAAAATAATATATATTAATACAATTTCTCAAGATATTTGTTACACACTCAACAATAAATAAATACACTTTTTTTGGATTCAGAATTTAATAGCCTTTTATTCAAGCTTTCGTCTATAGTTTGGGGTGTATCTGTAGCCGGGGAGCAGGAGAATTGCATCGACAGAGGGCACATTAAACAAAAATTTAAAAATAGGTGCGAATAATTTATCTTTATTAACGTCAATAAGCCAAATATCTAATTTTATCAAGGCAAAGATCCCAAGCATAGGGAGCTAAATGTGCGGAATCGGCTGCTTTATAAATGTGGCGAGGAAACTGATACACCTCAAGAGAGTCTCGACCTGTGGACATGTTCGGGAAAACGGGATGCAATAAGCTGCACAAGCCTGAAAGCTGTTATCCTAGAAAGTGGCAAAACATCCTTTCTGAATAACAAAGTTGGTCCACGCAATGAAACAACACCTGCAACATGTGTCAAATGCTACGGGAACTCAATCTAAGTATGGGAATTCGTATAATTTGATTTAAATTGTAGGTTAAGAACAGTCAAAGCATTTTGTGTGAACAGAACGTGGCAGCTTGAAAATTTTTAATATTGATTTTTGCAGTTTATTTTTTGCTACTAAATCTAATTTTTTTTAAAATTAATTTAATACATATAATTCAAGAGTTAGGCGTTAACAAATGTTCTTAATTTAAATAAAAGGCCATTACTTTTTCATCCAAAGTAGAAAATTTATTGTGATTCTCGACAAATTGTGGACTATATAGCATAATGATATGTATTATATTTTATGTATATCATAAATTCCCTATGTGTGCACCGATTTTCCCATGCATACACAGATTAATATTGTAAAATCTACTGGTATATTTAAAAATCTAACCCATTGCATTAAATACCTTAGTTAATAGAGTTTTTGTCATAAGTTACATAAATACAATAATTACTATTGATTTTGGGAGTAGTCTAAGAGCTCCAAAGTCGGGTAATACTTGTGTCTGAGCACATGCTGCGCGCACCGCTCAGGCAGGATGCATAGGCCATGGCATGTGGTATAAAGTGCTGCTCGAAGACCCCGGTGAAGAGGTGGGCATATGGTCCACTGGCGAAGACGGCGACATCGTCGCCGCCGTGTGTCTCGGACGCCAGCGGCACGGCGGTCGGGAACATGAAGTCTTTGTTCTTCATGTTGATGGAGCGCAGATTCTTACGCTTGACGGTGCCGCCATCCTCCTTTAGATAGTTGCTGTTGTAGCCTGGTCCATTGGCATAGCTCAGGGTGGCATAGGGCAAGTCGTCCGCGGCCAATTGGCCATCATTGATGCCAAATATGTCGTTCTTGCGACTCGAATAGCCCGCCAGCGACATGGTGTGCGAGTGATCCGAGGTGACCACAATCAGCGTGTCATCCACGCTGCTGTGCGTACGCGCCCATCGCACCGACTTGTCGAACTCCGCCGTCTCGTCGATGGCGCGCAGCGCCAACGTGTCGTGGTGCCCATGATCGATGCGGCCGCCCTCAACAAATAGGAAATAGCCTCGACCGGCGCTCTGCCGCTCCAGTATGCCCAGCGCCGCTTGCACCATCTCCTCCAATGTTGGCTGCTCCGCGGCATCGGCATCCAGATGATACGGCATATGATATGGAGCGAACAGGCCAAGCACACGAGATGTCTGGTTGTTAAGCTCCAGCAGCTGCCGACGCGTGTGCACGTAGTGGGCGCTGTTGGTGTGTTGCCGCTGCCATTCCTCGATGAGATTTCGCCCGTCCTTACGCTTACCGAAGACTCCGCTGGGATCTCTCACATGTTCGGGTAAGAAGTTTTGGCTACCACCGCCTAAGATCACATTCAAATTGCGACCCACTTCACCGTTGATCAGCTGTGACGCAATGTCCGTACAAACTGTGGGATCAGCATCATCGGCCTTGACATCTGCATCGTTCTCCCAGTCGCGATTTGCGACGTGGGCGTATACACCAGCCGGGGAAGCATGACTCACGGATGTCGTCGTGATCAGGCCTGTGGACATGCCCTGTCGCTGTGCCCAGGCCGCTATAGATGCAACATGGTTCTCCGGCTGAGCTTGAGCTTGGCAGTCTTTCAAACGGACAGCAGCCGTAACGCCCACAGTGCCATAGTTGGCTTTGACGCCACCCAAGTAGGCGGTTGCCGTGCAAGCCGAGTCAGCAACCTGCATGTTGGCGCAGTACGTCTTGCTGAGACCCACATACGGAAACTGCTCGAAGGCGAACTGCTTCTCCTCGCCACCCAGATAGACCCGACCGGCGGTTATTGTCGGTATGGACATGCCGTCGCCCAAAAACAGAATTGTATTCTTGGCCAGTTGTGTGTTCAGCCTCATTTTGCTCTCCAGCTGCTGCTCCAGTGTCTGGCTGGCTAGACTGCGCCAATAATCAGCATACTGCTCCACCCTTTGGGATGCGAACGTCATCTCTGGCATGTACCCGCGCTTAAAGCGCCTTGCCCCTTGATGGATCGCTGCCCCCTCAAACAGCGGATGCATGCGCCGCTCAGCATCACGTGTCGGCAGCACTAGATGTGTGAGTGGAGCTTTAGTTTCAGTTTGCTCGACTTACTGCGACCTTAGGACTTACCATGTCCGCCAGCTAGCGCGATGAGCGCACCAAATGCAAATAATTGCATGATCATCCTGAGCAGTTGCTTATGAATTGTGGTTAGCCTGTACCTTGCCGGGCACGTTTTAAACGGAACTGATAGCGAGTCGCACGAGACCGGCTTTATTTATAGTCTGGCACGGTTCCATAACAGGTCATCGTCGCCTGATAAACGAAAATCTGTGCATGGCAATCGATGCCGCCGACGCTGTCTACCCCGTCTTCAGTCCTATTTCATTACATGTGTGTGCGTTGTTGTTGTTGTTGCTGTTGTCGTTGTTTTGTTGTGTATTTATTTTAAAGAAACTTTTCTTGGGTTTTCGGTTGTGCGTTATCATTATTCGTTGTCTGCCTACCCGTAGCCATGGCTCACGCACTCGTGTTTTTGTTTTGCCTGCGGATCCGAAAACGCGATCATCGTTCACGTGATAGTTCTGCCTCTTCTCGCTCGACGTACAATTGTGTACAGATCCGTGTTATGAGCGCTGTTCTGTCGAAGTCATTAACTGTCTATACACTGTCATAAAAGCAGCACCAAAATTTTCAACAAATGACTGCATACACGGAAGTACAGCTTTCTTTATATGTATGCAAGTGTAAAATACTTTTATATAGTTACAATATTATAGTTTTTATTCAAAATGAATTGCATTCCAAATTATGTATTTTTCTATAACAAATTTTATTAATAATATTAATATTAATATTTGTTATAATCATATTGAATCGAATGAGGCTATTGCGAATAATATAAATTATGAATAGATCAAGTTAAGTTAAGTTAATAAAGGGTTGATTAAAAACTTTAAATATATATATATATAATAGGAAAATTGTTTAACATTAATTTTTTTTATATTCTTATATAAATTTTGCATAGATATATATATAGATATATTCTTTAGTTATATGTAGATGATCTTATTACGAAATACCTAATTCAATTATTTGTCATTACAAAAAAAATATATATAAAAATATTATATTATACTTTATATTATATAAATTATATATTTTATACCATTTGATATAAAATAAAATTGTACAAATTCTGTAAAGTTTTCAAAAATGGTCGAAAGGTGTCGATTAATTGTGCAACATTTCTTATTTTAAAAAGGCCGCTCAACCAATGTCGAAAAAAACTTGTGTTGGCAATGCCGTGCGAACGCAGCCTTGCGCAAATTCCATGGGCACTCTGCTCAAATTCAAACGAATATCGAAAATGTTTGTGCTGGCAATGCTGTTGGTAATGCTGTAGGTAAATGAAGGCCGCCCAATTTCAAAGCAACGTCGAAAAGTTTTCCACTTTCAGTACTAATTCTTAATAATAACAATTGATCTTTTAGAATTAACTTAATAATTGGCAAAACTTCGTATCTTTAAATAAATAACGCTTATTTTCAAACTAACATCGAAAATGTTTTGAGCTGGCAATGCTGTTGGAATATTTTATAATTGCATTGCGCAGTCGCCAGCATCAAAACAAAAGCTTAATTCGTTTGACAATAGTTGATGTGCTTTCTTTCTCTCTCTGTTTTGACTCCTCTCTCTCTTTCTTTCTCTCTCAATAATATACACTCTCTTTCACAGCAGCCGTTATCTTCTGCTGCTGCTGCGTCAAGAAACATCTTCGTTAGAGAGCTTCTGGCCTGACTACGCGAATTTGGCCAAAATAGTTGTTGGTTCGCATGCAAAACGTCAAAATCGCTAAGCTAAAACATTTTTATACCAACGGCGCGTTTTTAATTTTTTCTACACTACAAAAATATATAGAGAAAAGCAAATGAACTAAAGCAAAATAACCAAAAAGAACTGACAAAACTTTTTAGCCCAACATTTGTTGTTTCCAAATCATTTAAAACATATGTATGCATGCATATGTACATGTATATAAATACATAATGTATATATGTATCTACACATACTTAACTAAGAAGAACGCGTGTATATAACAAACGATAATTCAATAATTTTAAATAACCAAAAGGTAAATAGTGAGAAAAGTGCGTGAAATATAATCAACTAAATTTAACAATAACAAACAAGCAAAGCACGAAATATTTAATTATAATTTTTGCCATCTCGAGTTGTTTATATCTATTGTTGTGGGTCAAGAAAATTTGGTGACAAATTGCAACTTTCTGTTCTCTGCTGATGTACAATTATGTGTGTGTATAACTGTATAAAGTGAAAAGTATGTACGTAGGTACATACATACCTACATATGTTCAGTTTATATGTACACACTGGCAATGGGATGTCGTGTAATGGATGAATGTAACAAAGGCACACATTTTGAGCTGTGAAAAAAATTCAAGTATTATTCTAAATGTTACAGTGCAGTGTGAGAGTTGGGATTACATTTACATGTACATGTGCAGATACATACATATTACAACAGAATGCTGGAGGCTCTATGCCCTGCCAAGCCAAAGACTTGGTCGCCCAGCTGACTACGAAAGCGACCTAATGGCTCAACATAATTCTACGTTTGAATATCTTTGCACTTGTGTGAGAGTGCGAGTGTGTATAGGTGTGTGTGTGTGTGTGTGTAGGTGTGTGTGATGCCAGGCAACTTCATACTGCAGCTGTGAGGCTAGGAAACATTCATTGAGGCTAGATTTAAAATTTAAGTATTTTCAACTAAATTTTAGTTTAATTTTCCATTTTCACTCAGACTTGTGTAATGATAATTTATCTATAACTGTAACTAATATATGTTGTCAATCAAATGCTATATATACTATAGAGAAAGAGAGAGTGAGTGATATATATATTTATATATTAAATAGAACAACAACAAATATAAATGCCCAGCAGCAAGGAGAGAAACAAGTCGAGCAGCCACACACGATTCACAAAAACATGAGAAACAATTAAATGACAAAAAAAGTTGCCTTAAACTTTTTCAAGGCACACACAAACACACACACGCACGCACACTCAAGCAACAACAAGAACGCAAATAACTTGTCGTCTTTGGCGTCATCGAAGGGAGTTGGCAGCAAAAGTTTTAGCCTTACTCCACGGGGAGAAGCATAGAAACATAGTAGCCCACATACACACATACACACATACACACATACACGCGCACACACACAGTGAGAGAAACAGGCACAAGTACAAGCACTCTGGTACAGATACATTTCAGCAGAATTAATAAACCACATGACATACAGACATGCATGGGCATATTTATATGTACACTTATACGAATTGAAATATATATATATATATATGTAAACAAAGAGGCACAAACGATGTACGGTACGAGTGCACACTGCCACAACAACGTAGTAAATACATTCAAATCAATCGACTTAAAGCAATCGCATATATTTTAGTAAGTCAACCTTTTCGCATGTTTCCAAGAAATACTTGCCAAATATAAAATTCGTGTGCCAAAGTTATTCATAAAACAGCCATGTGTGCCCCACTGTGCAGCAGCAGCAGCATCAGCATCATTCGGATATAGATATAGAGCCAAAAAGGATAAACGTTGCCGAAGCTCAAGCGCACGAACAAAGGAAACACGAACTTTCAGCATTTAACGAATGCGGCCTCCAAGCCGAACGCCGCAGCTAAAGCTACAGCCACAGCCACAGCTACAGCGAGAGTTAACTTTGCCGTTATGCTGTGAGCATTGGGTGCTTCGTTTAAATGAGTGCTCGTTGAATGTGTGAGTAATTGGAGGGGTTGGAATGGCTAGAGAGCAAACAACAACAAGCACAGCAGCGTTGCTGCTTGCGAGCTAGCAGACTCTGGGTCTTTGGGTTTTATGGAGCAGCAAAGGAGTGAAGTGGCGCCAGTTCAAGATTTATCAGTGTGTACGTGTGTGTGTGTGTGTGTGTGTGTGGGTAAAATTATGAAAACATTTGAGTTTGAGTAAATATGACCAGTTTGGGGGTGGGGGTTGTTTTTGTTGTATTACGTGCATGCGTGTTACAATGTGTGTGTACACACACACTCACACACATATGTGTTTGGATGTGCGCCTGTTCGTATGCAGCATGTTTATGCATCTGTATATGTATTTGGTGTCTCCGTGTGCTTCGCAGCAGTTGCAATTGCAATTGCAATTGCAGTTGATATTGTGGCCAGGGCTGCTGCAACTGTATTTAGTTAATGGCCTTCTAGCATTACTGGGCGCATGGAGAGGCCGTGCCACTGCCACTACCACTGCATTTGGGGGACAGGGCCACACTGTTAACGCAGCTGACCTTCACCCATTTTCCGCTACTTGAACAGTGACAAGCCAGCCAAGAGTCCAACGGCAAACGGCAAACGGCAAACGGCAAATGGCAAACGCCATTCAGTTTTAATTTAATCGCTGCTTTGTTGCTTGTTTGTTTGCGACGTTGTGCCACATTTAACCAGACTCATCAAGCAGGCCTGATTCAATTATAGGCACTACCCTCACACACAATCAAATTATATTTACCTTTTGTGCGCAGGATCTCGATATTTATGCATTGGCCCGGACAATATCCATGACAACCTCAGCTACTGCATCTGGGCAAATGCAACCCTGCATCTTCGCATAACAGGTTGTCGTGGCGCCTAGCCAAGTACAGTTACGCAACTCTATTAATGTGTCTTGTGCTTGATTCAGTGTTGATTAGAAGCCTCTCCAATTGGGTCATATAATTACAGAAAGAAAAGTCTAAATAAATTCAAAGTTTTGCCTATTCTGAGAATAAAATAAATTTCAATGTGCCACAAATACTTTTGCCACTTGGATCGTGAGCTCAAAAATTGTTATACAAAATGTTGGTGCAAGTTGATGTTGATACGAGCTTAAAGTATGGACAGAGTACAGTCTGCCTGTGATTGCTTTTACTCACATGGAAATTCACGTAATTATAATTGACTAGTCTTTATACTTTTAAATCTTCTATATACTTTAAGGAAATACTTATTTGTGCTTATATACGGGGAATATACGAAACAAATCAAATACCAGAAAAAGTCTTCTGATCCAGTTTGGTATCGAGACCAAAGAGTCTTACAAAATGTTTTATCTACTCCTAACATATTTGCTATAAGGCATCTCCTTATTTACTTCAAGGTATTTGTATATAGATA